CCAGAGTAGCTGGGACTGTGGTGTCCACTGTCTCTCATCTTCACAACACTGAATCCTGCAGCTAGCTGCTTTGGACTCCTGAGACTGCTCTTTCCTCTGGTGCCTACACTCTCTGTCCCTTCCTGTCATTTTGGAGCCCCCTTGTCCTCCAGAGTCTGCTGGCCCTGGCTGCCTGTTGCCTGGACAACAGAGGGCAGTCCAGGGAGCAGCTGGCAGCCAGTGTATGCAGCAAGATGCTGCAGGTTCCTAGGAGCTGCTGCACATCTCCTGCTCAGCCTGTTGGCTGGGCCCCCTGCCTGTGTCACCTTCCTCACTGGAGTGAGGATGGGACTGTTGTCTCACTGGGCTGGCAGGGAGAGGCTCTGGCACCCAGCCTGCAGGTCCCTGGCCCTTGGTTTGCCTGGCGCCCATGCAGTCTTCCGGCTGTTTTGGACCTGCATTTGCCGCAGCCTGGAGGGTGACGCATATGGGGGTCTTAAGTACCAAGGTTCCTTGGACATTCAAGTGCTTGCCCTGGTCCCCCGGTGCTCCTGAGCCTCTGATGCCACTGACAGACTGTCCCCCAAGGCACAGCTCTGGGGAAACATGACACAGTGACAACGTGCCTGGTCACATGCTTCACCCAGCCTTCGTCCCGTTCTGTGGTGATGCCAGCTACACTGGGTGGGAGGAAACTGCCACAATGTGGGTGCTTATTTTAACTGTAAGTCTGGGGGCCTCTGGGGTCTTCATTTGAACTCAGTGATTCTCTTGACTGAAGTTTGAAGGCCTCTAGGATTGGGCGAAATTACACTTTCTATGTTCTGTAACAGGCAAGTATCCTGAATTGTCACCAGATGCTATATCTTGGGTCTGAGGTCTTTCCTAACCATGTCTGTGGCTTCAGTGAAGAAAAATTTTTAAATTCAGTTTAATAAAAAGCATTCTTGAAGGCCAAGGATTTAGCTCAGTGGTTCCACTGCCTGCCTCACAAGTGCAAGGTCCTGAGTTCAATCCCTGGTACCAAAAAATTTTTAAAAAGCATTCCTTGGTCCTGTAGGAGGAAAAATAAAAGGATAAATATAGCTGATCCATCTGTCAAGCCTTAGGATGAGAAAAAGGTCAATTTTTACAAAGCCATTTTCAAATTTGCAGGTGTTGAAACTCACAACCAGAAACTTGACTACTGTACAATGTTTTTGATTCCAAAAAGTTGTATGTTGATATAAATACATTCTCGTGTGTGTGTGTCTCAGTTGCCCAGGCTGGGCTCAAACCTGTGATCCTCCTGGCTCAGCCTCCCAGACTGCTGAGACTACAGGTGTGCACACTACACCAGGCTTCCTCTTGTTTTTGGAGACGTCCACGGCTCTTCTTCCTCCATTGTACTGTGGTTTAGTCCCCGGCTGTTGTCCCTGGTGTGAGTGCATGGATGGTTCTGGGAGGTGACACACAGGCCAGGGGTGCCACATTTCTCACCAGCTGCAGAAATGTGGCCAGGGCAGATTGAGGTGAGGGAGGTTCAGGGCAGAGGGTGTGGCCCAGATGGGCTCTGGTCTGAGGAAGAAGTGAGAACCTGCCGGGGAAGGCGCTGGTGGGCCACAGGGTGGAGGGGCCCCTCGGGTCACCAGGACCATCCCAGGTGTCCAGTCAGGGCGACCCTGCTGTGCACAGGCCTGGCAGCTGGTCAGGATGCGGAACCCTGTGCACCGCAAAGCCGGGCCAGAACAGCAGTTCTCGCGTGGGCCAACAGGTGGCGCAGGGCCTGCAGCTCCTCCGGAGACCGAGGGGACCAGAGAGCTCTGTCCACCACCTCCATGCCGCTAGGGAGGCCGTCAGAAGTGGGCCCTGCAGGAGGCTGAAGGGGCTGCCGCCCCTGAGCAGTTCACATCCCGGAAGCCTTCCTCTGTGTGGTTTTTTTTTTTTTTTTTTGTGGTACTGGAGATTGAATCCAGGGCCTTTGCACCAAAATAGATCCTCCGCCCTTTTTAAATTCTGAGGTAGGGTTTTGCTAAATTGCCCAGGTTGAGCTTGAACTTGGAATGTCCTACTTTAGCTTTGCACAGTGGTGGGATTATGGGCGTGCACCACCACACCCAGATTCCACCTAGTCTTGTAGGGATACTGGTCATGGGGAGCAGGAACCCCAGGCCACCGGATAAGCACTGCTTCATCCTGAGACCCTAAGAGCTGAAGAGGGCCGGGGTGGAGGGTGAGGCGGCCCTTGTGTGAGGGCCAGGTGAGGCCTCACCTGCTGCAGACTTTCGGGGGTGGGGGATGGGGCCATTGCTGCTTCCTTCTTGGTCTTTCTCTGTGTTTTCCACATCTTCCTGAGTGGTTTATGCAGCTCGCAGCACAAGCATTTGACACAGCCTTGCCTCTTAGCTCCCTCCTCTCTGCCCCTCCTGTTCCACCTCTGTCCCACCAGCACCGCACATGTGGCTGCTGCCCGTGTCATAGCACAGGTCCCCCTTCAGTGTCACAGGGCAGCACTAGGCATCGTGTACTCCTCCTGCAGGCTCACGCTGCCTGGGAATGTGAGTCCTGTCTGGGTCCTGGTGACCCTCACTGTCTCTTTCCTCTTCAGGGCAGGCAATCTGGGACAGCTCCAGGAGCTGTGAGGGGGAGCCTGGAGTCCCCTGCATTCCCCAGCTGGCTATGAGCTGTGCACTGGGCCGGGGAAGGCCCTGCTGGCGCTGTAGGAGATTCTGGCCCAGCGCTGCACTGGCCTTCCGGGAAATGTCAGCCAGGTGACTCCAGGGCAGGAGTGAAACCAGAAGCAAGAGGTGACTTTCAAACTCCTGAGGAGGGAGGAGACAGCAAGCTCTGAGTGAGTAAGCAGATCCCTGCCCTCCCCTCCCTGCAGGCACACAAGGGGTGTCCCACGGGCAGGGGCCTCAGTGGGTCAGGCAGCCCACCTGCCCCTGGTCGCATGTGCATGCCGGTCTCTGGTGTCCCGACACCAGCCCTGCCTGTGGAAGCTAAGCAGTCACTGAGCTCAGAAGCATCCACAGGGCTTTGCCAGCAACCACGTTGCACAAGCCAGACTGGGGGTGAACAGCAGAAGGAAAGATGGCAGGGGTCGAGGTGTCCAGGGGGCAGCTGCCTGCTTCGGAGCTCAGGCAGTGTGAGGGGACCGGCAGTCATCCCGCTCCAGTGGGCAGGGCCTCCCCTCCCTGGCCAAGTCAGCATGGTTGGAGTCCACCAGAGTTTGCTCTAGTCTGAGCTCAGGCCCACAGTGGGGCCCCAACGCCCTCGGGGCAGGACGATGAGAACTAGGACAGCTGTCACTTCTTGGGCACCCTGGGGTTGACAGGAAAGGCAGCCCTGAGTCCCCACCTCCAGGCTCACCAGAGACCCCATTCCTCAGGAAGTGGGAGGCATGGTGGCCCCTCCTGGGTCTACCCAGGGACATCCCCTGCCCCTGCCCTGCTTCTGTGGCTGCGGGGTGTGTGTGACTTTTGCTTTCTTTTTGGCAGGAAGGAACCCACGTGGGAATTCCCTGAGCGGCCAAGACCACAGTGAGTCACCCTTTTCCGAGCCAGAAAGTGAGGTGAGTCCTCAGAGCAGAGGTGTCGTCAGAGCCTATTTATTTATTTATTTATTTATTTATTTATTTATTTATTGGTACCGGGGAGCAGGCAGCGAAACCACTGAGCTAAATCCTCGGCCCAGTCAGAGTCAATTTAAAAGCAAAAAATATAAGAGAAAGCCTGCTGAAAGCATGAAAGTCTAAAATAAATGGCAGTTTGGTGATAGCACTGGGCAAGTACGTTGAAACAGCCTGAAGCCGGGCTGGCACGCTGGTCCCTGTGCCCCCGGGGCTGTGGGCACTTGATTGCTGGGATGACATCCGGGTGGGATGGGACTGAGGGGGTCTTGGAACCAGCCTTTCTGCAGTCGCCATCCTGGACCCGGGGTACGACACTCCTGGCGGGGGCTGCTGTCAGGGCTGGTGGAACGGCGTTGCCATTTAATCCTGAGGGAGGGGGCTGGGCTACAGCTGACCCGCTTTATCGCGGGCTGGGTCCTCAGGACGCCCTGGGGCCTGCCGGATGCAGCCAGGAGCAGACATCCCATGCACCCGGAAAGCTGTTGACTTCTGGGCTTGGCTGAGGCCTTCCTGACTCTGCCGTTGGGGACGCGGGGCTAGCAGCCTCGGGGACGCCCTGTGACCACCTGAGTTCTAGGCGACAGGGAGGCCTTGGTGTTGCATTCCAGGAATGTGGGTTGCAGGCAGGGTCTTCCATTCTCGCGGATTTCCACGGCTTCAAGGTCCTGCGGGGTGCCGGTTCCCAGCGGCTTTACCTCTGAGCCTTCTTGCGCCCCGCACAGTCATGGTGTGGAGGCTTTCGGATCCATCGAAAGTTGCAGGAGGCGAGTGTGTGCGGAGCATCTGGCAAAGCTGGTGTCCCATGAGAGCACCCACTGCGATCCCCATCTGCGCCGGGCAGCCCGGTGGCGGAGACGAGGACCCCGCCGCCAGACGTCCCCATTCGCGTGGTCCACATTTCTACGGGCAGGGAGGCCAGAGGGCTTTGGTGGTAAAAGTTACCAACATAAAGTCACATTGAAATCTTCAGAAGCGTACCGTCTACTCACTTCCAGATGGCTCTCCAACCGAAAAGGACGCCGGCGTTACAACCAACTACTGCAACGTGAGCCTCCACAGTAATAAGCTCGAAGTCCGCGGGAACAAGCTTAAGTAGCCAAGTCGCAACCAATTGGCACCCGCTGCGGCTCATACTCGCCCTTGGTAGGCTATGTTACCAGTCCATCAAGCCGCGGGCCCGCGGCGGGGAGGATCTGACCAATCGACGCCCGCTGTGGTTGACCTCGTGCTTCTGGTAGGCTCTCGCGTTAGTCCATCAGGCGGGCTCGGGGGCGGGGCGGGGCGGGACGACGGCGGGGGCGGGGGCCGTGTGCCGGCGAGCGCTGAGTTCCGGGCCAGCGAAGACCGTCGGGTGAGGGGGCGCGGGGTCCGGGTCCGGGTCCGGGTCCGGGTCGGGGTCCGGGTCGGGTCCGGCCCCTCGCCAGGGTGATTGGGCTCTGCTGTGGTAGGCGCCGAGGCTCGGGGCGGGGCGGGCGCGCTGGCTCTGAGGGGATTTCTCAGGGCGGAGGAGCCGGAAACCGAAAGTCGGGCGGGGGAGCGGGAAAGTTGGCTGCGTGCGGGGCGCGGGGCTGAGGACATCGCGGCCTCCCAGCCTTGGGTGGGCGCTCTCGCCTGCCCCCAGTCCAGGGCTACTTGGCAGCCGGCCGTCGTCCCCGCACCCGGGACCTGCGGCTCAGACCTCCCTGGGCCGGGGTCGCCTCTGTCCCGGCCCGGGCTCCCTTCCTTCCGCCAGGCCCCAGCTGTCCCCAGGTGGCTGAGCAGGGCCGAGTCCGACCCCCGGGAGTCTGCTCCCAGGAGGCCGAGGAAGGCTGTGCCTGGGGCGCCCAACAGGAGGGGTGGACGCAGCCAGCATCCGCGGACTCCAGGGCTGGGGACCCGGGGAAGTTGTCGGAGCGATGAACCTGGAGCTGAGGACTCGGATCCTGGCCGCGTGCACCCAGCTCCTGCTCGCTGGTGGCCTGAACGCACAGCTTGCTCGTTGGAAGTTGCCTGCTCCTGGCTGTCGTCCACCTCATAGAGGCCATGCCTGGCCCTACCCCATGACTCCTGTCCCTGTGACTCAGGTCACCTCACCTATGACGATTGTGGGATGTAGCAACCCAAAGTGACTGTTTTTAGTCACTGCACAGGTGCAGTTTAGCTACCTGGGAGGCTGAGGCAGGAAGGTCAAAAGTTTGAGGCAATAGAATGAGACCCTGTGTATAAATAAAAAAAGCTGGGGTCCTAGCACAGTGGTAGAGTAGAGCCCTTGCTTAGTATGCCCAAGGCCCAGGCTTCTGTCCCCAGCGCTGAAAAAAATGAAAAACCTGGCCTAGGAGATGTGAGACCTTAGTAGCACCCCACAAAAAAGGTTGCTGTTTTAGGTGGAGGCCCAAGCAACCCAGACCTGTTGCTGAGTCTTACTTTTTGAAATCAGCTTTGTTGCAGTATGCTTTAAGTGTTACAGAATTTGTTGTGCTGTGTTTGAACAAAGACGTTGCTCTTGTGAGCAGTGGGGAGGCTGTGCCATAGGTGCTGTGGCTTCTCATGGGGTGAGGAGGTAGCTGTCAACTTGGGGTGAAGCCGGGCCACAGGAGGTGTCAGAGGCCTCTGCGCTCGGTGTTCCTTCTGCCTGGGACCCTGGTCCCAGTGCACCTCTGTGCTTCCTGTCCTGTGTCCACTGTCATGTCCTGTTTGCCACCTCTGAATCCTGGCAGGGCTGCGAAGCATCCATGCAGTGGGTGGAGTGAAGGCCATGCGGGCTGCTAGTTCCCAGCCAGAGCCTTCTCTTGCCGAGGGGATATTCTAACTCCCCCAGGTTTTGCTCCTCCTGGAACCCTGAAGGAACAACTCTCTCTGGAGCTGTAATTCTGTAACTGCCGGTGTCACCCAGAAGAAGCCCCCTCCAGGGAGAAAGCTCTCCATCGTTTCACTCTTGTCTCCCCAGCGTCAGCTTGGGCTTCATGTCAGACCACAGGAAATGCCGGTCACCCCTCTCACCACCCCTGTGTGGTTGGCGTGTAGATTCTGACCGTGGCCAGCCAGGTGGGTTCCACAACAGGAAGTCCTAAGCACACACAGGCATGGGCAGGAAGGGCCAAAGAAGAAAACCCAGGAGGCACTGCCCACACCTCGGGCATGTACTGGTGCCTGTCCTCCCAGTTTTCCAGCTGCCTCCTTTGCAGAGAGGTTGAGAGCTCTAACCTGATGCTATACCGTTGCATGCTCTCTGTCACCCCATGGCCGCCCTGCCCCTGGTGTGGCGAGGTGAGGCGGGGGAGCAGTGGAAGCTATCCCCAGGGCCTGGGCCTGGCAGAGAGTTTGGCCATGGGGCTCAGGGTTTGGAGCTGGTGGTGACTTAGGGAGGTAAAAATCCTAGCAGGGAGGGAGGAGTCAAGAGGTGACCTGGTCAGGAAAGTCCAGAACATGGAGCTGGGCAGCTGGGGTGTGTCCAGGTGGGGAGCAGAGCTGGGGGCAGCAAGGGAGAGGGGAGGCCTGGCTTCTTCCTCCAGCTCTGTGCCTGGCTCTGGCCTAGATGCTGGACCCCTCCTCCAGTCGCTGCTCCTGACAGGCCCGGGGCTGCACAGGTGTGAGGAGGGCTGTTGGCTGGAACAACTGCTGGGAAGAGCAGAGTGGGTGGCAGTGGAGCTGGGGCGCCATTGGGAGGGAGCTCTGAGCAGAGGGGAGACCCAGTCTGAACCCTGTGTTATCTCCAGGAGGGAAATGGGCTGGGAAAGCCCTGAGGGCAGCAAGAAGGCCAGTGCGGGCAGTGACTTGGTCACATGTGGGTGATTTTTAAAGTGCCTAGGTCCTGACTGAGCCCTGGCACAGCATGCATAGCGGTCAGGCCCATAGCAGTACCGTGGATACAGACCCTGCTGTGGTCACGTGCTGGTGAGGAAATGGGTTGCTGCCTTGGTAAACCTGGCTGGTTGGTTTGTTTTGCTCTACTGGGGACTGAACCCAAGGGCAGTGAGCTTGCTTATTTATCTGTACAATCCCATTGTTGTATTTGTATTTATTTATGGTGGTGCTGGGGATGGAAGCCAGGATGTTATACCCCTGAGCTATATCCCCAGCACTGTCTGATTTTTAATCTTAAGACAGGGTCTCACTAAGTTGCCCAAGTTGGCCTTGAACTTGTGATCCTCCAGACTCAGCCTCCCAGGTGATAATAAGGATTACAGGCAGGTGCTACCACACCTGGCTGCTAGCATCTAGTTTTGAATAAGAAAAACTACACATACTGATTGCATGAATAAATGTAAACACCAGCCACTTGTAAGATTTGAATGGTTTTTTCCTACAATATTTGTTTTCAGTAATTTTGTAGAAACAATTGTCAGGTGTTAGTTAAGTTATTATAAGCTTTGGCTTGGTACTGTGTTGAACCTGAGAAAAGATGGACTTGCCTATCTGAAGTGGATTACTAGTAGTTGGGGCCTCATACTAGTGACTGCACACAGGCTAAAACCCTTGCCTGTGAAGTGGGCTTGTTAGGCCCGTGGGTTAGAACTGGATGCAACCAAGTGGTTGCTTATGTGGAAACCCAGTATTGTGTAGAATTTGAGTGGCTCCGGGTGGCAACTTGAACTTGGGAGGCTTGTGTCCCCAGCATTTGGGGTGTCCTTGAGCCTGTTAAGAGCAAGTCCCTGGGCCAATTCCAGCACTTGCCCTTGGGAAGGGACCCCCAGGGTGCACCCAGAACTGACTTTGTACCCTAGTTGGGGCTGCGTTTGGTTTTTATAACATCCCGCCAGGTGCTGCTCAAACCCAGACTCAGGTTGGCGGTGTCAGCTGCCCAGTGCCCTCAGCCCAGTCAGGTTTCAGCACTGTCTTTGCCCTTGGCCTGCTCTTCCTGCCCAGGACAGCGGCCCCAGGTCTCGAGCCCCAGCTCTCCTGGAGGGCTGTTCTCCAGGTTTCACTGCCATTTTTAATAGTTTTTAATATCGGGAAGTAGATATTCTGGAGAAGCAGATGCGGTCATTGAGCCTTCGCCACCCTCTGGCTCTTTGGGAGAGGAGATTGTGTCTGTGCGTGGAAGCCAGGTGTGCAGGAGACGTGCTTTTGTCTGTTCGGGCCCCTGGCCCGGAGGTAACAGCCACACGGTTCTGTCGTCACAGAAGGGCCTTGCCGGTCCTTGAGTGCTGTGTCGGTGCAGTCATTGCCTGAGCTGTTGCATGTCTGGGAGCCGCCTCTGGTGTGAAGTAAGCAGTCCATTTTGGGCATGGATTGTGAGACTGCAGCCCCATCCGTACAGGTCTGTCACTGGGAGTGGTGCTGGTCTTGTTTTCTTTTTTTTGGTACCCAGGATCGAACTCAGGGCCCTACACTTGAGAGGCAGGCGGTGGCACCACTGAGCTAAATCCCCGGCCCGTACTGGTTTTGTTCTTAGCTGACCAACCTGTCAGAACTTTTGCAGTGAACCAGTCTGGAGTGTGAAAGAGCCGCGTGCCTGTCGGGTTTCCAGGCAGGTTCTGATCACATGGACCTCCTTGTGTTCCTTGGTGTAAGCCCTTAGGCCAGAGCTTGTGGGCTGCCCAGCCCTCGAACTGTGTGTTCAGTGTGTGTTTGGTGCCGGCAGCGATGGTCCCTCCTCCTCACGGACTGCAAATGGGCAGCCCCGGGCAGCTCGCCGCTGAGGGTGGCTGCACGGGGTGGGGTGGGGGTGTGTGTGAGGTGCAGTGTGCAAGTTGCTCCCGGTACCGTGGGTCGAGTGGAGTGAGAAGGGTCGCGTCGGGTTTCGGCACAGTGCTTGTGAGTGTTCGTGGTGGTGGCACGAACAGTTCTTAAAAGTTATGATGTCTTCATGAAGGAGACTCAGGCCTACACTTAAGGAAGCCCACAAGCACTGAGAGCCCTGAGGTGCAGCATCAGTGCCGGGCCCTCGAGTGCTTGCCACATGGTGTGGTGCCAGCTGACGCTCAACTCCCAGGTTGTCGGGGTGGCAGTGGTGATCTCTGGGCTGGTGAGCTGGTACCCTTGACATTGCTGAGGGCATCTGCAACCAGGACTGACATGAAGGTCAAGGCCCTGCTGTCTGCTGTGGCCTTTATCACAGAAGAGCAAAGAAGGCCAGGAGGCAGAAGGTGTCCCCCAGCTCCCTGGCGGCAGGAGGAAAGGCTCTGGAAGGAGTGGCCACATCTGGAAGATGTCTAAGGAAGTGGAAGAGGAAACGGCCCCATCCTCCTGCCCCCATGCAGCCGTCTGCAGTTTGTGTTACGTTCCCGCCCTGTCTGCGAAAAACATGGACCATGGAGTTCTTCACGTCCTGTACTATTTTATCTGATGTAACAAACCTCAAATGAGGTTTGAACCTAAAGAATGTGGCTTTTTAAACAAGTGACCTTTAAAAATAGAAAATGCCTGCATCTGAAGTAGCTTAGAAGAGTGCCTTTCAAACCATTAGTGGTTCATGAGATCAATTTAGCAGCTTCTGAGCAGAGAAAGTGAAATATGACGGGAACTCAGAAGCCCTCGTGCAGAGTGGCAGTTTGATGAGGCTTTGGCTTCTTTTTATAAGTACCAGGGATCGAACTCAGGACCTTGTGCTTGTGAGGCAGGCGCGCTGCCACTGAGCTACATCCTTTGAGCTAACCCCTTCCTTTGGCTTCTGTCACATGCACATGGGGGGCAAGTCGTGTTGACACAGGAGTGGGGGCTGAGTGCGGTCCTGGTGGGCATGGAGGTGAGCAGGTGACAGCCTGAGCTTGGTGTGGCACAGGCTCTTGGGGGACAGGGTCTCCCTCCCTTGCCTGGGCTGACATTAGACTCCCACACCCAGGCAGTCCTCCTGCCTCAGCCTTGCAAGGAGGTGGAATACAGGTGTTCACCACCATGCCTGGCTTCCCCAGAACATCTGTGTAGATTGTTGCCGGGGGAACAGGCCCACCAATGGTGCAAGGAGATTGTGTCCCCCTCTGAGAGAGGCATAGTGACAGCAGGGTGCAGTCCTGTGTGCAGTGCCCAGCACACCCTCTTCCCGGTGCTTGGGGAGAGCGTGGGCCTCACGTACATCCTGGAGTGCCTCACGGATGGCTCTCTCGTGACATACGTTCATCTGTGTTGGCTGGTCCTGGACGGTGTCCAGGCTGTGCTCAGCAGAGGAGACATGACCCATGCGGTCCTGAGCTGGCCATCCGGGGCCAGACCGGCCCGGGACACGAGGGCGGCCTGTGGGGCCTGCCTTGTGAGCCAGTGGCCTAGAAGTCGTGTGCTGCTCTGCAGAGGTGCTGTGCCACAGACCTGGGTGCCAGGTACTCAGTGGGGAGACCGTGGGGATGGGATGGGCCGGTGGGGAGGGCAGCTTGTCGTGCAGCAGCCAAGGTGCTCGTCCAGGGCCTTGAGTTTTCTAAGTTGAAAGTGCTTTGCTCGGGGCCGTTTGTTAGTCGCCCCTTTCCAGGGCTCACAGGTAAGGGTAGCATCTCTTGCCACCTCTGAGCTCTGGACACTGCATGATATTGACATGAGGTCCCCAAAGGCTGCTGGGTTCTGTCCTGGATGGGGCCCTCTCACCCCCAGACTCACCACCCGCGGAGTCGCCACAGAGTGGTCCATGGGATCAGCCCCGCTGGTGCCTTAGGCCTGGAAACATTTGTGGAATGAGGGGACGGTGGCATTGACAGCTGTCGGCTGTGGATGGGGTGGTCTTGCCATGTGGAACGGAAACTGAAATGGCTTTTGGGAATGGTGAGCTATAACTGCCGTCAGCCAGGTGCTCTGCCTCAGAAGGCCCTCCGTGGTGTGACCAGGAATCTGTCACAAAGGAGCAGTGGGCCCTAGTTTCGGGCCAGCCCTGGAACCAGGTGCAGTACCAGTGCGGGTTGCCGAAGGTGGCCCGCTTGTCTCTTCCAGGTGTCTCACGCGACTCGGGGAGCCCAGTCCCCTAGGCCCTGCTGCCATCCGCATGTCAGCCAGGAGCTCAAGGTCTGCATCCTCTCAGACCGCTGGGGCGAGGGCCATTCCTGCAGACCTTGGGGGAGAGGCCCAAGCTATGGCTGGGAGTTGGTCAGGAGTTGGCATCTTCCTCCCGTCTCCCAGTGAAGGAGTTCTGGCATTCCTAGGAGGCGCTGCTGTGGCTGCCTGGCCTGGCCTGGCCCTGAGCAGGCGTCTCCCCTGCTGCTGCTGCTGCTGCTGCTGCTGCTGCTGCTGCTGCTGCTGGACGGGGAAGCCTGCTGCGTGGCCAGAGGGAGTCCAGGGCAGAAGCCTGGGTGAGGGTGGCTCATCAGAGAGGACAGCAGGACGGGGCTGTGGCTGCTCTGCAGGTGTGGCTGGGGATGCCCAGAAGCTGCAGTGGGCACCAGGTCTGGGGAGCCTGGTGTACACAGAGGGGCTCTGCAGCCCATGAGGTTGGTCTGGACTGTGGGGGGCACTGATAGCAAATGGGGAGTGCTGTGGCCGGCACCAGGCCGGCTTACCTGGGTGTTGTTAGTTCAGGGAATGTCCAGGACCCGAGGAACCAGCAAGTACATTATGGTACATTTTGGAAGCCATCTGTGAGCTGGGTGTGGTGGTGCATGCATGTAACCCAGCACTTGGAGGCTGAGGATGGCAAGTTCAAACCCAGCCTGGGCAATGAAGCTAAAGAAAAGTACATGGCTTAGGATGTACCTCAGTGCAAATGCCCTGGGTTCATCCCCAGTACCACGCACACAGTCACAGGACCACAGGCACAGGATGGAGGTGCTCACAGGAAGGCAGCCTGCTCTGCCAGCCAGGGCGCAGGCCAGCGGGAGGCCCCTGAGTTGGTCCTTGGCCTGAGTGCCGGCCACATGCGGTACCTCAGCTTCCAATCCGTGGCAGCAGCTTGCACTACCTGTCTGCAAGGGTCCTGAGCTCAGAGCCTGCTTCTCTGACCTTCTCAGGACTCCTATGCTCATCCCCCTCCTACCCTGTCCTGCGCAGGGTGTCATGTGCTCTGTGTTCCTCCTCAGGGCCACGTGGTGTGTGGGGGTTCCAGCTCTCATGGCTGTAGCCAGTGTGACCCCCCCGGGCTCTCTGGACCTGCTGCAGCCGGGCTTCTCCAAGACGCTCCTGGGGACGAAGCTTGAGGCCAAGTACCTGTGCTCTGCCTGTAAAAACGTCCTGCGGAGGCCCTTCCAGGCCCAGTGTGGCCACCGCTACTGCTCCTTCTGCCTGAACAGCATCCTCAGGTGTGCAGGGTGCTGCCGGGGTGGCAAGGATGGAGGGTGGCACTGGCGTCAGAGTGGCACTGTACAGTTTGGAGGCTCCCAGTCTGAGTCCTCCCCAGATTCTGCAGGCTGGTTGTTTAGTGTCAGTTATCTATTGCAGTGCTGTTTGGGGGCCCCGGGGCGAAGTACGATGCATCGTTAAGGTTAACAGGACCTACTTTCTTCACTGTTGGTCACTGGTCACTGGGCACTGGGAATCCCACTCCGCACAGCTGCTCCAGACGGCAGCCGAGGAGGTCCTGGGCACCCGGGGCACCAGTGTCACAGAGCACGTGGCCTCTCCAGAAAATAGCAGTTTGTCACGAAAGGAGGGAGTCCCTTGGGTGGGAGGATGCTCTCCTCACACCCTACCCTCTCAGGATTTGCTCTTTTCCTGTGTATGCTTAATGCACAGTGCTGTGGATTTCATTGAGGGGAATTTAAGAATTCGTGGTGTGGAGTTGGTTTGTAGACTGGGCAGACAGCGATCATTTCTTCTTCATAGCAGGTTTCACAGGAGATTTTGTTTCTGTCCCCAGCTCTGGGCCTCAGAACTGCACTGCCTGTGTTCACGAGGGGATCTATGAAGAAGGTGTTTCTATTTTAGAAAGCAGCTCGGTGAGTACAATTTCTTGGAGCTATGAATGTTGAACAGAAAGCCTTTTAGAATTCCCTTTGCAACATTGGTGGCAGGATGCGACCCGAGCAGACATGAGTGCTCAGGGTTTGAGACGCTGGTGCACAGCTTGGGTGGTCCTCAGTGTCACGCTGTGCCCTCCATGGCCAGGAAGGTGGCGCTGGCTGGTTGGGTAGGGCTGAACTTGGGGTGGCACTTGCTCCCACAGTAGGGTGCTGGAGAAGGTTCAGCCCGAGGGCTGTTGCTGTTCCCAGGCCTTCCCGGACAACGCTGCCCGCAGGGAGGTGGAGAGCCTGCCGGCCATCTGTTCCAACGAGGGGTGCACCTGGAAGGGGACCCTGAAGGAATATGAGGTAAAGCAGGGCGTCCCTGTGTTGCTGCAGGCTGCTCTGGAGCCCCGCTGGTGGAGATGACACTCCCCAGATCAGTGGTCTCCAGACCAGACCTGTCCTCTGCTCCTCGGGCTGTAGCCGTCTCCTGTCTGTGGGCCAAGATGTGTGGCCAGCCTTAGATGTCCATTTAGAGACCAAATTGTGCAGTGTGCAGCCCTGCACATGGAGCCTGGTACTTTCCCTCTCTGTGCCTCAGTTTCCTCGTCTGTCCACAGAGGTGCAGTTCTCTCGCCACTGTGGGATGTGAGAATTGGAGGTGCCCATGTATGAGGACCTGGCCTCATGCCAGCCCTGGGGTGCTGTATTTGCCTTGGCAGTGGATTTCCCAGTGCTGCAGGGTAGGTCCATCTGTGTTGGCACCTATAGCTTTCAAGCTCTGTGGGATTTCTGTGTTTAGTTGTGCTTTTGAGATGTGGGTCTCCCCATGGTACCCGAGCTGGCCTGGAACTCACAGTCCTCACGGCAGCCTCCCAGGCTGCTGGGATTGCAGGTTTGTACTGCTGTGAACTGTGATGACATGGGAAGTCACAGTTCATGAGCACATTTATTCTGTGCTCACAGAAAGACTTCTGGCCAGTGACAGAGGTGGCCACAGGCTGGTCCTGACGTTGTTGTGCTTTGTCTTTCTGTACCAGTAGAGGCCAGTGTGTTGGGCACCTCAGTGTGACCCTCTCGGCACCCTCAGCCCTGCAGCGCGTGTCCAGCACCTTCCTCTTGGTATTCTTAGTCGATGCCCTTCAGGAAGTGTCACCTCGGATGTGCGCACAGGAACATTCACAGCAGCTCGCAGATGGAGGCACCCTCCATTTCCCCTGACAGGGCGGCTAAACGAGTGGGGCGTGGTGTGATGAGACTGTGACGCTCACACTCACTGCAGCGGGGCCCAACCTGAGGAGCTCCTGCTGAGTGAGCCAGCCGGTCACCGAAGACGGCTCCTGCCGGCCCCCTCCCAGGAATCCTGGAGCTGCCGGGTCCTTGGAGATGGACAGGGAGTGGTGGCAGGGCGGGAGTTGTGGCTGACTGAGCAGCGTGGGAAGCTGGGGTCTCAGAGTGCGGAGATTCCTTGAGAACAGCCTGCTTGGTCCAGGTCGGGGGCTGCAGTGGACGCTTTGCTCACAGCCTGCTGGCCTGTGCCTGGGCCTCCAGGGCCAGGGCAGCCGCGGTGCCCAGAGAAGCCAGACCCTGAGAAAGTTGGGATCCTCTCTCCTTCCCTGTTTGCTTGTGTGTCTGGCCACACTTCCCTCATTCTTTTTGTTTTCTTGATGCTGGGGATGGAACCCAGGGCTCCCTGTGTGCTAAGCACATGTCTGCCGCTGAGCTGCCCTAGCCGCTCCTTTGGCTTCTGATGGGCTGTAGGCTCTGAGTTAGCTTTGCTGGGGGAGCAGCCCTGGCTGCCCCTGGTTGCCTGAGGGGCTGTGCTATGCTCCGTAGTGCGGTGCCTTGGTCAGCTCCCGAGCCAGGCCCAGGCGCTGCTCCTGGCGTTGCTTGCGAGGAAGGGGTCCCTGAGGAAGGGGGCAGGCCTCGGTCTACCCCATGAGGATGGGCCTGTGGGACGGGCAGTGGGGCGCTGAGGGGCAGGCAGGGGCACGGGGCCCAGCCCTGTGCAGGGCTCTGGATTCCCCTGAGGTTCCTGGGCTGTGGTGTCCATGAGGCCAGTGACCATGTGGGCTTGGCCAGGAGCCAGGGACTCCAGTGCCACACGGCCCCACAGGCATGCAGCCTGGAAAGTCCCTGGCGGGGTCCGGTGTGAGCTCTGGAAAGTCCCTGCGAGGAGCTGGGTTCGGGCGTGTGGGAGGGCAGCCCTGCTCTGGGACAGCCGGGCCAGGCCTGATTTATTGATAAAACCTCTGCCCTTTGGCAAGTGTCCAGGCCACCGAGCCAAGCCCTCCTCCCCTCAGCCTGTCCTCAGCTGGATGGGCAACCCTGAGGCTAGAGCTCTTTCTACTTGATGCTCTGAAATACTTGAAAAGTTTGGAAAAATGGGAAAAGATCATATTTAGTCTTTGGCTGTGCTTTTCCTTTTTGGTGCTGTCTTTGATTCTGAGAGCATGGTGGTTCTAGAGCCCAGTCCTGCGTCCCTGCCTCTGGGTCACCCGGCTCTGGCTGTGGGCAAGCACAGGTGGAGGGTGGCCCAGATAGCTTGCCCAGGTGCTCTGGAGACTCAGCTACGACAGCCCCGTTTGCTTAAAGAACTGAGTTTGAATTTTGGTTGAATAAATGCTGATTTCTTTGACTTGTGCATGTGAGGTCAAGGAGGGCACTGTGCTTTGTCCTGGTTACCCGAGGGGGCGCCTGCGGGACCCTAAGTGCAGACAAGCCAGTGTATCATCTCACTTTCTTTCACTGTGGTGCTGGGAATCCAGCCCAGGCTCCCACATGCTAGGCACACTGTACCCCTTACCCGTCCCCGACCCGTGAGCCTTCTGTTTAATAAAACCTTGGAACAGCCCCTTTCCCTGCCCTGTGCTGCCACGTGCTGTATCACTGAGCCACACCTCCAGCCCAAGAGCAGCCTTTCAGCTCAGTTCTACTTATGCGCCTGTTTTTGTGTTTTGTTGTTCGTGGTCCTGGGGATTGAACCTAGGGCCTTCGCACTGGGCTGTATCCCCAGCCCTTTTCTCATTTTTTATTTTCAGACAGTCTTCCTGTCTCAGCCTCCCACAGTGCTGGGATAACAGGGATGCACCACCACATTTTATCTTGACACAACTTAACAAGCTTAGCTAACCTGCTTGGCTCCATGCGCCTGTGGTGACCACTGCACACTGCTCGCAGACTTGCTTTGGGGGCTCCCGTGCCTGCCGGTCCTGTGCAGCTGACTTTGTCGCTCCTGTGGCTGGCTGAGACCAGGGTCCTGCTTGGTCTCTCTCCTCTGACTGTCGCAGCATACCGAGGTTGCAGCAGACCCCTGGGGTTCCAAGGGTGTCCAGAACCTGGCCCTTCCGTTTGTCACTGTGTGCCTTGTCAGTTGCTTTGGTGGCTCCCGCCCTTCCCTCCCATCTGTGGTGTGGCAGCCAGCAGCCCTTGGAGGTACATGCAGGTCTTGTCACCTTTCTGTCCAGACCCTTTTGCCAGGACAGTCGTTGGCATGAAGGTGCCTGGGCCTGGTCCTGAACCTGTGGCATGGGGCCAACCTGTGTTCCCTCCAGGTCCCTTGTGTCCTTCTGTGCTACTCTCCTTTTCCCAGGGTCTTGCCCGACCCTGCGTGGCCACTGAGGGTTTTTGGCTTCTCTAGACCTCCTTAGGGTGCTTCCCATCTCCACTACCTGGGGCTCCTGCCTCAGGTAGTCAGCTCCTCCCCCTCGCCCATGCTCCCTCGAGCTGGGTGGCATGGGGTGGGCTGCAGGGTCTCAGCCTTCACGCTGGCCCCTTGGCCTGTTCTCCTCAGCGTAGATCTCTGAGACGCCATCTGTGCCCAGGCCCTGGCTGGCCATCTCAGGCCCCGGGTCTTTGATGCTGACCATGCCAGGGTTCCAGTGCTGCAGGCAGGGACAGCCACCTCCATAGGTCTCTGCGTCTCCTGTGGGTTTCTGCCTCCCACACCCCATCTAGCGGTGCCAGGGCTGGGCTGGCAGCAGGAGCCTGAGCCACTTCCTGGGCCGGGGGCACAGCTGTTCCAGAGGCTGGGGCAGAGACATGCGGCAACAGGGCCCCCTCACCTCTGCCTGGGACAGGGGTCAGTGTCCCCAGTCTGGGAGTGGGGCGGGGAGGACACATGGGCCTGGGGAGGCCTGCATGCTGTGTGGGGCGCGGTCTCCAGGCTGGGAGGAGGGCATGCAGACTCCAAGCATGTGCACGTGCCGAGGCTGCCCAAGGGCCCACGTGTGCCCTGCTTACACCCCCTTCTTGTGTTGCCAGAGCTGCCACGAAGGACTCTGCCCGTTCCTGCTGACCGAGTGCCCTGCATGTAAAGGCCGGGTCCGCCTCGGGGAGAGGGAGCGCCACGCCGAGCAGGAGTGCCCAGAGCGGAGCCTGGCCTGCCGGCACTGCCGGGCGCCCTACTGTCGAGTGGACCTAGAGGTGCTGGGCACAGGGGCCAGCGTGGTGGTGGCCGCTCTGTGGACACAGGGCTCGAGCTTGGTGCTGGTGCCTGTGTCCCTGAGGCATAGGGTGGAGGGTTCTCGGGGGGCACTGGGCTCAGGTGTGAAGTCACTGCCGAGGCAGGTGAAAAGCATCTTTTAGAGAAGCCGTGCTCACCAGGCCAGGGGTCGGCAGTGTCACCAGTGCCAGGCCAGTGTGTCCTCCTTAGGCTGTCAGCAAGCAAGGCTGACCTCATGTCACTTCATCGAAGCGGCTGGGAATGTGTTTCTAAAGGGCACAGAGCTACAGCGCTGTCAACACCACCCCAGCCAGCTTTGCCCCGAAACCAGCACTGAGGTCATGTTGGCTCCAGAGTGCATGGCTCTTCGTGGCTGGGAAGAGAGAGGAAGCAGTGGGGTCCTGTGTCCCTGTGAGGCTATGCCCCTGGTGACCTGCAGACCTCCCTCAAGGACACAGCTTCTGAAGGGCCACCCCTCCCCATTGGCTGCACGGGCGAGCAGCCCATTACACGTAGCCTTTGGGGAACGCTTGTCCAGCCCCTAGCAGCCACATTTGGAATGCAGTAGTTAGGCTCGCGCCCCTCGGTAGCTGGCCTGGCCCTATTGTCTAAATGTGTCTTACAGGGTCGCCTACATCTGCTGAAGTAGTGTGTCGGGTGGGTGCCTGCTGCTCGGCCGTCCGTTCCCTGGTTTCCGGGTTTACACAAGGGCAGGCCCGAGCAGGGCCATCTGGGAGCTGGGTGTCTGCAGCAGCACGCGAGGGTCTCAGGGGTGGTCTAGCCACGCGGCCCAGCAGTCAGCGAGTTCTGCCCACCTCGGACCCTGCTGCTGGCACTGCCGTCTCTGTCCTCATGGGGCCCTTCTTTTCCGTCCAGTGGCAAAGTGGATGTTCCACTTTCCTGTCCTCTGCAGTGGCCTTGTTTCTCGTGTGCTCTGGAAGTGTAGCCCAGGAAGAAGTCTTTCGGTCCTAGCTCGGGGTGCCGGCGGGTGCTGTGCCATCTCTGGAGGCAGGGAGGGCCCACATGAGGGTCAGGGCTCCCCTTGTGCACAGCCCTCTCCTCACCCCGCTCCCCATCTAACCTGCCCGCTCCTCCCCAGGCGCACTACGAGGTCTGCCCCAAGTTCCCCATGGCCTGCGACGGCTGCGGCAAGAAGAAGATCCCTCGGGAGAAGGTAGCTCGGGGCCGAGGGCCTGCACTGTGCGGGTGGCGGTGGGGTCCTGGCCCGTGGCTGAGGGATGGCACAGTGATCCAAAGCTTTCCTGTCGGGCAGTGGCCCAGATGTATGTGTCACTTGGGCCTGGCAGCCACAGTTCTGGGCCACAGGTCTTTGTCCTTCCACACACGCTGTTACCTTCGTGTGCACTGGGTGTGGTGCTGGGTGTGAGCCTGGGGCCTTGCCTGGGCTGGGCAGGTGCTGTGCCACAGAGCCCACCCACCTGGGCCCCATCTTCAAATACCTCATGAGCCAGATGTTAAAGTTGTCGTCCTCCATTTGCTGCTTGTGAGGAGCTTTGGTATGGACCTGACCTGAGTCTTTTCGGAAGTGACGTGGGTGTGGAGAGGCCCTCAGGGCTGAGGTGATGACAGTGACACCTTGGGACAGGGCATCTGATGTCCTTTGGGCCTAGGGAGGCAGCCCCTGAGGAAGGTCGTTGGGAGGCAGTGCCGAGTGCCTTCCCAGGCCTGTCCCTGGTGGGCCGGTGGGAGGGGCAGCCCGCAGAGGCCAAGGGAGAAGGAGCCAGTGCGGCGGTGTGGGTGGTGGTGGCGGTGGCGGTGGCGGTGGCGGTGCGCAGGGCTGCAGGCTTGGCCAAGCACGTGTGCTTGGGGCCCATCGGCTCCTTCCTGTCTGTCTGGTTTGCTCTCATTTCTGTGCAGGTCACAGCCCAGGTCCCAGGGCTCCAAGTCTGAGTGGTCAGGAGAGGGGCCTCTGCTGCCCTTTTCCAGTTGTCCTGCATCCAGGTCCTCCTGTGGCTTTGGCTGGGTGCGCCCTCAGGTGTCATGTGGCCTTCAGTGGCAACTAAGGTGGCTCTCACACTCGGTGTGAAGTTCAGGCTCCAGCTCTTCTTTTGAGGGGCCTGAGGATTAAACCCAGGGCCTTCACTCTGAGCCACATACTTGCCCTTTTCGACTCGTAGTTCTCCTGCCTCAGCCTCCCAGAGGGCTGGGATCACAGGTGTGCACCACCACGCCTAGCCAGGCTCCAGTTCCTGGTGGGATCTCGTTGGGGGCTGTGGTGGACGTGACAACCCTTGGGAGGCCAGGACACTGGCCTGGTGCTCCAGTGCCTTGAAGCTAAGTATTGGTAGACGCTATCCCCGCTGGCTGTGGCCTATGGTGGCTCCGCAGTGTCCTCCACCTGGCCTGGCTCCTCCTGGCAGGTCTGGTACCCGGAAGGCAGGACTGGTCCTCGCCCTGTGGTTTTCTGAGTGGTGTTGGTGTTGTTTCAGTGCTGGGGCTTGAACTTAGGCCCTTGTGCACACGAGGTGCATGCTCCCCAGCCCTGATGTGCGTTTCTGCTATGGGCTGGGGTTGGGTCCAGGCACCCAGCGGGCCTCCTCCCTTGTCCTGACCCTGGGATGTGTGTCTTACCAGCCCTGGCCTGATCAGCCCCTGTCCATGCGCACCACGCATCCCTAAGGCTGATGGCAGTGACGCCCATCGCAGGACCTCCCTAAACACAGGGTGCTCTCTGGGGCAGCCCGAGACAGCAGCCGCCGTACACAGAGAATGGGCTGTCGGCTTTGTCCCTGTGGGAGGCTTGGGGTGGCCCCGATAGCTCTTGGTCAGTGTGGAAGGGGTGAAATGGACTGGGACTGAGAAGGATGGCCCTGGCACCTCATCCCCCTGCCCCTCCAGTTTCAGGACCACGTCAGGACATGTGGCAAGTGCCGGGTCCCCTGCAGGTTCCACGCTGTGGGCTGCCCTGAGCTGGTGAGTGGCTCCCTGCCCCCTCGCAGCACCGACCCCCAGCCCCCGCTGGCTTTGTCTGTTCTCTTTCCCCACCACCAGCCCGCTCTGGAACACCTGCCCTGAGCCTCCCTGGATGCCAGGGGAGCCTCACACTCACCAGGGCTGTGGCCAGCACCCCTCCTGCTGTCCTGGGCCCCTGTGCCGCCCTCCCCTCTTGCCCAGGAAAGGAAAGGGCACTGTCGCTGTGCAGGTGTCCAGCCAGAGCCCCGGGGCCCAGCACTCGGCTCATCCCCCGGGGCCCACTTGCCTCCCAGCGGAGGGCTCCCTGACTGTCAGCAGACGGTCCTGCCCTCCCCTTCCGGGTGCTTGACAGCTGTTCCTGCCCCTGCCGCCTGCTGTGGCAGTTACACGGGAAATCAGATGGGCTACAGCCTCCTTCCGGCCTAGCTTCGATTCACAGCTGCCCATGGCCCCCAACCTCTGCCCTGCCTTCTGATTTTTGAGTGTCTTTAACATTTGATCTTGTCACAGAAGACTGAAAAAAACTTAGCTGAAGTTAGGCTTCTTTAGCGATGCCTGGCTTCTGCCTCTGTTTTCCACTTTTCCCTGAGAGCAGCTTTTTAAATGGTGCTTTTCCCTCGTCCATCCATCCATCCATCTACCAGTGATGTTTTGCTGTGTTGCCCAGGCTGGCCTTGAACTCTTGGGCTTATGTGATCCTCCTGCTTTACCCTCCTGAGTACCAGGACTACAGACACACGCCACCACGCCCTGCCTCCTTTTCATTTCTGAAGCAAATGTTATGTAGGAAGCTTTATAATTTTGAAGCACACTTGATTATTAGACAGTGGCAGCTTAAATGCTGTCTAGAGATGAGGACAGAATGGACTGAGCTGAGCCATTGCCAGGCATGCTGGACACCTGTGCTCCTGTGGCCCCGCCCATCAGTGCGGTGAGACTCAGTGCACGGTGCCAGCAGCCTCCCACCTGTGGCCATAGGTGGAAGCCGAGGAGCTGCAAGGGCACGAGGGGCAGTGGTTGCGAGAGCACATGGCCCTGCTGCTGAGCGCCCTGCTGGAGGCCCAGACCCTTCTGGGGGGCCAGAGCCAGGCGGGACCCGAGCTGTTACAGCGGTGCCAGGCCCTGGAGCGAAAGACAGCCACCTTCGAGAACATCGTCTGCGTCCTGAACCGGGAGGTGGAGAGGGTGGCTGTGACTGCGGAGGCCTGTACCCGGCAGCACCGGCTGGACCAGGACAAGATTGAGGCCCTGAGCAATAAGGTTGGTGGCCGCAGGGCTGGTGGCCACGTCACTAGGGAGCCCAGGCAACGTAGAGCCCATGTGCTGCCTGCCTCAGGCTTTGGCACCTACACTTCTGAGCTCTGGGGTGGCGGGCACAACTAGGGTTTATGGAACCTGAGAGCTGACTCGTCCTTTCTCAGGCTTGTGTGTGTGCCCTGTACTCTGCAGGAGGGGTCTGCGCCAGTGGGGCGAGGGCTGTGCGGTTGGGGTGGCTGTCCTCAGGGACTGGTGGGGTCAGGTGGCCTAAGAGGCTTGTGCGCCTGCCCATAGGTGCAGCAGCTGGAGCGGAGCATTGGGCTGAAGGACCTGGCCATGGCCGACCTGGAGCAGAAGGTCCTAGAGTTGGAGGCGGCCACCTATGATGGGGTCTTCATCTGGAAGATCTCAGACTTTGCCAGGAAGCGCCAGGAGGCTGTGGCTGGCCGCACGCCGGCCATCTTCTCCCCAGGTGCTGCCTAGAGCTTTCCATGCCCTGCTGGGCCTGCAGCCCCACAGCTCCATGTCCTCTTGTCCCCATGGCCTCATGGGGCAGCTCTCCAGGCAGGGCTGGGGTCTCTCCTCAGCTGGCACCAGGAGCCTCTGTGCCTCCTTATGGGAGTTGGGGGCCATCTGTCCTCAGGCAGGAACTGGGACACAAGGGCCTGATGGTCAGGCTAGTTGCACACAGGGGTGCCCTTGTCACCCCCAGATGGCAGAGGGTGTGGGGTGCCATGGCTTGGGTGGTGTGGCACGGCTGCCAGGGGGATGGGGCTGTCGAGTGTCATGCTGAGCTGGTCTGGCCTCTCCCCAGGGCAGATGTTTCTCCCTTCACCCCCACCTTCGGGGTCTCTGGAGGCGGACACTAGGGTCTCCTCCCACGGGGACTGCTTACCGGCATGCTGCCTGACTGCCTTCTGGGGTGCTGCACAGCCCCCTTGCCTTGGGGGCTTCAGCCACACCTGTGAGTGCGATTCACATTCGAGCTGACTCCCGGGAGCTGCTACTGAAGCAGTGGGTTCTGTGGTCGAGCAGAGATGCGTGCAGCTGCTCCTGCCTGGGGTCACCTTGACACTGCAGGGCCCTGCCTGGCACCACTGTCGTCCTCTACATGGCACATCCTGAGTGTGCCTCTGTAGGGGCCAGAAGCAAATGGACTCACCCTTGATTCAGGCTTGTTGTGGGAGAACCCCAGGGCCTCCTGTGTGCACGGTGCCTCCCGGGACTTGGGCTGGGGCCTTCCCATGGTGGTGCCTCTCTGCAGGGGCTGCTATGCCTGCCGTGTACCCAGGTAAGAGGGCCGGCTGGTGCAGCGTCTGCTTCAGGCGATGCTGGTGATGGGGTCCAGCAACGAGCAGAGGCGGCAGGGGACAGGAACAGGCTGCACAGGCCCTGCCCGTGAGGGCCAGCTGGAGGATGGCCACTCCCTAGGGGGCTGGTGCCTCCCTTGGGGCTCTGATGGCCAGTTCTCTGGGCCAAGCTCCAGCTCAGAGCAGGGCTTCGGAGGGGCCAGTAGTGATGGGACCCCACTGCTTTAGGGCCTGGTGTGGCACAGGGCAGAGCACAGCCAAGCTCCTCGTGGGGAGGAGCGGAAGCAGAAGGGGTACAGAGCCCCACTGGCTGAGGACCCCAGTAGGCCATGCCTCCTTAGGCTTCCACGCCTCCCAGCAGGCTGGCCGTTGCGGGGACATTCCAGAGCCACGTGAGATGCACAAGAGGAGTCTGTTAGGGGAGCTGGCCACCGATGGTGGAGGCTGGGACACGACAGGCCATCTGGTAGCCGGGGACCCTGGATGCCGCCAGCAAGGTTTGCTCTAAGTCCAGCAGCCTCAGGATCCCAGAGCTGCCGGTTCAAGTCCTGGAGTCCAGAGCCATGGAGCTGGAGCTCTGCTGGCCACAGTCAGGGAGGACGTGTCCCCACCCCAGGGCAAGGAGGCTAGTGTGCCTTTCTTTGCCATTTGTCCTCCCTGGGTCTCAGCTCAGCACAGCTGCCCCTGGAGGTGGACAGCGCGTGCCCAGGACAAGGCCTGAGCCGCTCTAGGCCTCCCTGCCCAGGCGAGCTGCCTCTGAGCTCATCCTCACACAGTCCCTGCGGGGCAGGGCAGTGTGCCGCTGCCTCTCTGCCCCGTCCCTGCCTCCGCCTCCTCGCTGCCCTGAAGGTCCCTGGGCAGGAGCCGCACCCTGCCTGTCCTCACTGCCCTCTGTTGCCCCCCAGCCTTCTACACGAGCAGGTACGGCTACAAGATGTGTCTTCGAGTCTACCTGAACGGCGATGGCACCGGGCGGGGGACGCACCTGTCTCTCTTCTTTGTGGTGATGAAAGGCCCTAACGATGCCCTCCTCCGCTGGCCCTTCAACCAGAAGGTGTGGCACTGTCCTGGGGTAGGAGGGGTACCTGGGGCCTGTGAGGTGCAGTGAGGTGGCCCAGGATGGGGTGGCACCAGTTGTCGCTCCCCAGGGGTCTGGTGTGCGCCGCGGCTTCTGACTGCTGGCCACAGTGCCAACCCCTGGCTCCAGGACCAAGCTTGAAAGTGAAGTCTGCCCTGGGCACCGGGCTGCAGCACAGAGCCCTCTGCCTGGCGTCACTGTCCTGGAAACCCGGGTCCACCTTGCCCGAGGACTTGAGGCTCCAGAGGTCAGGCTGGGACAAGAAGGGGACAGCCCCTTCACTTCACAGGGGCCCAGCCCTGGGCACGTGCAGCTTGGGCTGCGGGGGTTGGAGCGGGCCCACAGACCATCAGGCTTGGGTGCACCCTGAGAACGGCTCTTCTGCCCCCAGGGGAGCCAGGTCAGGTCAGCACGACTTGGAAGCTGCACAGTGGCACAGGTGCAGCCGGCCAGGCTGGGCCTGAGAGCTGGGTGTCCGTGTGGGAGTGGGAGGCGTGGGCACATTCGCTGTAAGCGTGTCCTGCCTCGGGCCGGCATGCAGGGTTGCCCGGTTGGGCACTTGGAGCTCAAAGGCTCGGTCCTCCTGGGGCCTCTAGGTGACGCTGATGCTGCTCGACCAGAACAACCGAGAGCATGTGATCGATGCCTTTAGGCCCGACGTGACCTCCTCGTCCTTCCAGCGGCCGGTCAGCGACATGAACATCGCCAGCGGCTGCCCCCTCTTCTGCCCCGTGTCCAAGATGGAGGCCAAGAACTCCTATGTGCGGGATGACGCCATCTTCATCAAGGCCATCGTGGACTTGACGGGTCTCTAGCCACCCCTACCTGGCACAGTGCCGAGGGAGGAGCCACCGCAGGGCCAGGGTCCTGCACACAGGTGGGCGGGAGGAGCCCACGCCGTCCCAGCAGCAGAGACGGAGTAGCTGGTCTGGCGAGCCCTGTCCTCTCCGGAAGGGTCCCACGTGGGTACCAGGGCTCCCGGCCTGCTCCTGCGGCCGGAGTATCTGGCCGCTGGGAGAAGAGCAGGGTGGTCCTGGAGCATAGGGCCGAGGCCCCGCAGGCTCTGGACAGGAGTGGCCGTGCTGCCCGTGGGGCCGACCTGGGCTGAGGAGCTGTTGGTATTAAACCTTTGAGATCCCGTGGTGAGTGGTGTCGTGTAGCTCTGGCCCGGGCAGTGGGGGCCTCGGGGCTCCTGCCTTTCCTCCCGCTGTCCTCTCTGTGCCTGTGTGCTGTGAGCTCCTGCGGACACTGAGGCCAGGGAGACGGCAGGGAAGTGCAGCAGAGCGGGCCTCAGCCTGGCCAAGGGCGGGTGGGCGGCACCCCAAGTCCCAGTCAGTGGTAGTGGCCTCCTCACATCCCGGTCCTGGGGGCCAGTGAAGCACAGGTGAGGCCAGCAGTCGGGCGCACCTCCACTGCAGCCCTGCCAGTGCTCTGCGCAGGGTTCTGAGCTCCTGTCCACCTGGCTGTTTACCCTTTGTGCCTGTGTTTCTGTATCTACAAACAGTATTGAAAATATGCAGTGGTCGTACCCTGAGTCACCGCAGGGGCTGGGGCTGGTCTGGTGACACCCACTGCCGTGTCCCCTAGAGGAGACAGCTCGTGTCCTGAGATCCGTGGCTCCAGGTTCCTCATGCTGACCTGGAAGCAGAGTTAGGGGCCTGGGTGTCCGTGCCGCTTCGGGCTGCTCTGCAGGAAGCTGGGCCTGGTGCTTCCCAGCACTAAGCTGGCTTCGCACAGCCCCACCCCGACCCCAGAGCATGCTGTCTGGGCTTGAGGGCTGCTGTGAGGCGTGGTCCCTGGTCCTCGTGACCTGACTTCCAGGGAGGCAGCGGGCCAGGCACCTCTGCTGGGCCCAGGCCCCTTCCAGATTTTCCCCGGGGAAGTGCAGTGTGAGTCAGGGACGTCAGACCTGGTCTCCTCCTGTTGAGCAGAGCTGCTACTCTTCAGGTCCTCGCCTTTGATTACATCTTTGAATTGTAAATGTAGATGTGATCCTTGAATAATGGATTTAAAGTTTTCTTTTTAATATGGCTAGTTTCTACTTTGGGAATTTGTATGTGATATATATATTTTTGTTTGTTTCTTTTGTTTTGGGTTTTTTGAGGCAAGGTCTCCCTTTGTTCAGGCTGACCCTGAATTCACTATTTAGCCGAGGCTGGCCTTGAACTCTTGGTGATCCTCCTGCCTCAGCCTCCCAAATGCTGGGATAACAGGCATGTGCCGCCACATCCGGCAACATACATTTTAAAATTAGGGTTCAGGTTAACGCTGTGGTACATCATCAGTCTCTTAAAAGGAAATAGAGGGAGCTGGGTGTGGTGGCCCATGCCTGTAGTCCTAGCACTTGGGAGGCTGAGGCAGGAGGATTGCTGCCAGTTGGAGGCCAGCCTGGGCTCCATTGTGATTTCAAGGCCAGTCTGAGCTACATAGGGAGACCCTGTCTCAAAACACCAAAATAAATAAGTAAATAAAGGCTGGCAGGTTGTGGCTGAGTGGGAGGGTATGAGCTTAGCATTAGTACTAAGGGTAACAACAAAGAAATGGAGGGCCGGGGATTTAGCTCAGTGGTTCCGCTGCCTGCCTTGAAAGCTTAAGGACCCGAGTTCAACCCCTGGTCCCCCCACCCAAAAAAAAACCCTCAGGAGTACAAAGAAATGGAAAGGGTTGGTTAGCTGAGAGGCTTGGGAAGATGTTTACCCACAGGGCGCACTCCCAGAGTAAGGCTGAGGCGGACCGGGGACCTGCCCCAGGAGCTGCAGGGCAGCAGGAGGGCTGAGGCTGACACTGCCAGAGCCGGGGCCAGAAGGGGTCGGGGCCCTCAGACCTCGCAGAGGGAGGCTGGTCTGCACACTGAGCTGCTCTGGGCTGTGGCCCCACCCCATACAGGAGGGGCTGGAGCTCCCTCTGCACTGCTCAGACCCATTTCCCACCTCTTACAGTCGCCACCAACGCTGTAATTTTAGGGCATTTCGTTATCCCAGAAGGGAACCTGTCAGCAGCAACTTCGTCCCTCCCACTTCGTCCCTCCCACACCCGACAGCACAGCTGGACTCTGTGCCCTGCACGCCGCTCTCCTGGACGCTTATTGAGTAGAGCCGCCCCAGTCCTCAGCGCTGTCTCCAGGTTGTGTCCGCTTGTGGCTGTCCATGTCCTGTCATCAGGCCTGGGCAGTGTCACCATGCGGTTTTAGTGACTCGCTGTACAGGGATGTGGCCGGTTCCCACGGAGCAGCTGCTGGGAAAATGCTGCTGTGGACGTCTGCCCTGGCTCGAGTGGTGCTTTCTTCCCTCCGGAGTCCTCTACCTGGCTGCCCCATCCCACATTCTGTGGGACACTCTTTTTGCTTGGTGCCTTTCCTTGATCCGGTCCCTGTCTGCTGAGCAGGGCCCGCTATGCGTCTGGGTGTGGGTCCCCAGAAGCAAGTTGGTGCCTCCCAGCGTCTGAGCTGTGACAGTTGCTGGAGGTTTGTGTGCAGATTGCTGTTGAGCACTCTGGCTCCTGAGGCGGATACTGGGAGTGGGGTTCTGGGTCGCCGTGGGGTTCGTGCTGGGGTATTTCATCATCACCCTTTTTTTTTGAGACAGGGTTTGGCTGTGTTGCCCAGGCTGGTCTTGAGCTCCTGGGCTGAGCAGTCCTTCTGCCTCAGCCTCGAAAGTAGCTGGAACTGTGGGATAGCCCACATCGTCAGGCGCACTTGGCAGTCACTGCAGTGCACGTGCAGTAGTGTCTTGCTGTGGTTTCACTTTTCATTTGGCAGGTGTCCGGGGCGGAGGCTGTCTCTCTGGCAACGTCAGTCACATCTTTTGCCCGTGTCTAAGCTGGACACCATCTTCCTACTGAGTTGAGTGAGAGTTGCTTGCATATTCTGGGCACAAGTCCCCTGTCGGGGGCAGGGTGTGCAGATACCTTCTCCCAGTCTGTAGCTCAGGTCTCACCCTTGTAGCAGTGTCTTTCGTCTGCATGGTCCTCGGTTTTGTCTTTTGTGGGCTGTGCTCCAGGGCCATGTCTGAGGACTCTTCCTGACTCAGACTGTGACGGTCCTTTGTGAGTTCACCTGCAGGTTCTACACATTTCACGCTGCACGCAGGTCTGCATCCCCGAGTCCTTGTGCGAGGTGTGAGCTTCAGGTGCTGCTGCCTTGCCCTGGCCGGGCTCTGCCCTGGGGGACGATGATCTTTCTCGTTTTTATAATTTGTAAGGAGTTGATTTGTCACATCTATGTGATCTGCGTTCTGATGGTCTGTGGATCTGTCCCTTCACCAGCAGCTCCTCTGGTTTAATCTTGGTTTTCACTGTGCTTTAGCGCTGTTTGCTCCTCTGCCAGTGCCTGTCACGTTGGCGTCAGGCTCTCTGTAAGGAACTGCCGGGGTTCGGCAGCCCTGTGGTCAGTGCGCGGGAGTAGGGGCTTGCCGTGTCCTTGGCCCATGGCTGACCTGCCTCCCACACCTCCACACTCCGAGTGGCTCTGCAGGCAGGCATGTGTTCATCTTCATAGATTTAACAGGATTTTATGTACAAGCAATCATGTTGTGTGTGGGCAGCGGGTTTGTTTTGTCTTTTCCAATCTGTGACCTGATTTGTTTTTAAATAAATTTTATTTTATCCCATTCCCTCCAGTCCCCTTCCTCTCCCTATGTACAGAAGCTCTGTTTCCATTTTTCCCTTCTATTTTCACTTTTTTCTTGTCCCTTCCTTCTGTTCTCCCTCCTCCCTGTTCCTCTTCCCATTTAAACATTTTCTTCCCATTTCCTAATATCTATCATACATTTTGGTCTTTATTTACGCTTTCAGTTTCTCACACCAGAGAAACAATGTGGTGTTTAAACATGTGTGTCCTATTTATCTCACTTAAGAGTATGGTCTGGAGGTCCATCCATTTAGCTAGAAATGTCTGAAGCTCATCCTTCTTTATGGCATAGTAGTACTCCATCGTATGAAAAAAACCCCACATCTTTATCCATTTGTCGGTTGATGAGCATTTGTGCTGTTTCCAAGATTTAGCCATTACAAACTGTGCCACTATAAACATGGGTGTGCATACATCACTTGGTATGATTCTTTTAATTCTTTCAGGAAGATACCAAGAAGAGGAATAGCTGGCTCAAATGGAACCTCTAGTTTTAGTTTCTTGAGGGATCTCCACACTGACTTCCACAGTGGCTGCACCAGCCTGCACGCCCACCAGCAGTAGAGAAGGCTTCTCTTTCCCCAGAGCCCCGCCAGCACTTGTTATTGGCTGATTTCTTGATAGCAGCCATTATTCTGGGGTGAGGTGGAATCTCAGTGTTGTTTTCATTTGCCTGTGAATGAACAGTGACATGAACATTTTTTCATATGTTTATTTGCCCTTTCTAATCCCTCATCTGAGGAGTGTCATTATTTCAGATGCTCACTTGGCATTGGGTCTTTAAATTTGGAGTGTGGCCTGATTTCTTCACCTGTCTCCCAGGCCGAGACCCCCTTGCCCTCTCCCCTGGCTCAGGGAGTGTCCCTCACCATGGCCAGTACCCTGAGCAGGCTGAGCAGGCCTTTCCTGTTGGCCGCTGGTGGCACGGCACACGTGCTGCAATGAAAGCTCTGAAAGTTCGCCATCACTGCTCCTGATGTGCCCTGTGGCTCAGAGCCGTCGATGCCAGGGCCGAGCCACCTTGCTGCCCTGCAGTGACCCACCTTGGGTTCGGCTACGGACCTCAACCTCACGTGTGTGTGGGAGATCCACTGGTCTGTCTGCATGGGCCTTCTGACCCATGGTGTGGTACAGTGTGACACTCTGAAGCTGAGAGACTCGGTCACATGACTTCTGTCACACAGCTCTGCCTGATTTATAAAGAAGCTTTACCACAGACAGGAGCGTTCCTGGATACAGGGCTTGTCCTGTCCGCTGATGCCCACTGGGCATCTCGGGACATTGCCCTTCGAATGAGAGGACACTGTGTTGTCTTTGGTTCTGGGGTCGAGGCTCAGGTGGAAGTCAGTGTCAGCGGTGAGGGTGCTGCTGTAACCTGTGGCCGGAAGTGTGGGGCTGACTGTGGGTGGGAAAGGCTGGGAGAGCCAGGATGCTGTCAAGGCCACCTGCTAATTCTGAGGGGGCTCAGCAGAGCTGGCGGGGAGCCCACGACCCCGGGGACGTCAGGGTCAGGTGTCCGTGCGCAGAGTGGGGCAGAGGGTGTACAGGAGGCCACGTGGATAGGTCTCAGCCGGAAGCAAGCTCGGCTGTGGAAACAGCAGCGCGGTTTCTGCAGCCATGAGGAGCTGTGGTGGTGGCATCTAAGAGGCCTGAACTCGGTACCTGGGGCAGAAATCTCTTGAGTAGCAGTGTTCCTGGTGCCCCGTGGCTGCTTTTTTGGTTTGTTTATGTTTGTGTTTTTAATAGCGGGGTGCAAGGAGAGAGATTGTTGAAAGCATGGGCTTTACCTTTAGAAAGGTTAACAGAGGCAATGTCAGCCCGCTGTGCACTGAGCATTTTCCTGACAGGAATGCGAGGTTTGAGGTCTTCCCAGTGCCAGCGCCCAGTGCCTGCATGGACAGCAGGAGCCAGAGCTGCCCTGCAGCCTGGGAAGCTGGCGCCCTGCCCCTGCCCCAGGCCTGCAGAGGGCAGCCTGGGGCCCCCACATGCCTCTGCGGGGCTTCCAGCTCAGGCCCAAGCCTGTGCTTGTAGGAGGGGCTGACCCTGCAGGCACAGGGAGGGGACGCCCTGGCTGTGGTGGCCTCCACCTGCATCTCGCGGCACTGCAGGACAGTAGAGGGGACAGAACGAAGCCACCGAATAGCCACTGGGGCCATGTCTGGTGGAGTCCAGGACCCAGAACTGAGGATCCCAGGGTGCAGCCCCAACCAAGATCCTGGGCCCAGGCTGTGCCCCGAGGCGCTATGGGGATGGATGCTGCCCGAGGCCTGGCCCAGCCCCAGCCGGGGTCTGGACGGGCCTTGGACTCCGGGCTCCTGGCTTAGAGTGTGGATTTGGACTCGCTGGGGCCTGGCTTGCCTGTTTCTCCCCTCTGATCAGCCTGTTCAGTGCTGTCCACCTGGCACTGACTGAACCTCAGGCCCGAGTCAGCCGTGGCTGCTCTGGGGAGGCTCTGGCCAGGTGCTGGGAGGCAACCATCTGGTGGCCTCAGGTGTGTTCCACAGGGGAGAAGCACAGGGGTTGGAGACCAGGCAGGGGCTTGGTGTGTCCCCCGATTCATGTTGAAAAGTAGTTGCCCTGGGACAGTGTGCAGAGGTGACTGGCACGTGGCTGTGCCACGCCAGGTGATGTTGGAGCTGCTAGAAAGTGGTCTTGTCCTCCACCAAGGGAGGACAGCATGAAGGCCCCACCAGAGGTGCCACAGATGTTTGGACCCCACCCGCAGCCTCCACAGCTGTGAGCCAGTAAATCTGTGACCGTTACAGATCACCCCGTCTTGGGCGTTCTGCACTTGCAGCGGAGGGGGACCAAAACCGTGTCCTCAGCCTCTTGGGCTTCTTGCTGAAGCCCAGTGTGATGGTATGTGGAGGGCATCAGGTCAGGGAGGCCACGGCCAGCTGTGGACGTGCTGACCCCAGGACTGCAGAATGTGGCCTTCGTGGAAACGTGTCCGCATGAAGTCAGGAAGTGAAGATGAGGTCATTAGGAAAAGGAGAGGTGGACACAGGCTCACAGGGAGGGACTGGACAGTGCGGTGACACGGAGGTCACAGGGTGGAGACGGCCAGGGGCCCTGAGACTGCTGGGCACTAACCCAAGGCAGGGCGAGGCGGCTGCTATGTGTGCCGCTGTCGCTGTGTGTCTGCAGCTTGAGAGCTCCTCTGGGCTTCAGAGTCTGGCCCTGGGTGGTCCCTTAGTGTCCCGCAAATCGCCCTGGCCTGTGCTAAGCTGGCAGCGCCTTCTCCAGAGTGTGGTGAGGAGCCCCAACAGACACATGCCCACGGGGAGGACTCTGGCGGGCAGCCCCTCCTACCTGCACAGGAGTCCTTGGTGGCCTCAGCACTGGGCTGGGCTGGGCTGTGTGCATCCCGAGCAGGTGTCCTTGGGCTTATTTTCTCCTAGGTTTGCTTGACTCTCAGTCTGCAGGTCCCCCCATAGAGCGAGTCTGGGGATCTTTTAGCTATCATTCTTGTTTTTTGGGGGGGTTTTTGGTGCCGGGGATCGAACTCAGGTCCTTCCGCTTTCGAGGCAGGCAGCGGAACCACTGAGCTAAATCCCCGTTTTAGCCATCATTCTTGCAAATCACCCTTTTCACCTTGTGGGCTTTGGAGGACAGGGATGTTGCCCCCGCCCCCACAGGTCCTGACCGCAGGCCGGATTCTCCCTCGGTCCTGTCCTTGGCGGGTCTCACACAGGGAGGGGCTCTTATCACAGCTGCCTTATGACCGAGACTGACCGTCAGAAGATAACTGCAGCACCTTGTCTTCTCGTCCTTGGTCTCTGGGAGTCTTCCTTGCAAGCTGACGTTTTCCTGGTCTGTCCGCATCAGGTAATTCGGGACTGTCCTCCAGATGGTCTCAACGTTCTGCTGTGAGTCTAGACCTCGTTTCGTCCTGTGGAAATGCTGTCTGTGTAGCAGGCACTTGGTCTTGTGGGCCACGCATGGCCTGGGAGGCTCCTGCGGGTCCCTGTCTGGCCGTGACCTGCACTCTCAGGCTTGATGGCTGCAATGAGGAGCTGCCTGGTGCTCATGAACAGCTGCTTCTTGTTGGGGCTGCTCTCCCCAGCTCCCCGTAACCCTTAGCCCTTCAGCCAGGCATTTGGGGTGCAGTTGGGCTGCCCTCATCCCTTCCACGTGGCAGACCAGAGGGAGACAGTGACAAGGTGCCCCCTCGAGCTGCAGCTGCACTGATGGCAAGGACTGTCCCTGGCCCACACCCCCAGCCCGATGTGGCTCTTGTAGGCTCCCAAAGCCAGCACACCCCACTACAGGGTGCCTGGTGCGAGGGAACAGAGGAAGAAGGCCCAGGGCTCTCAGGCTGGGCACCAGGGTGCTCCTGGGTTGACCCCAGGCTCTCTTCCAGGTTCAGGTACTATTCCAGGGGGAGGTGACAGGTGCCAGCTGCGGGGCCCCATGTCTCAGCTCCTCGTTCACTCCGTGGTGCAAGGTTTATGGCCGCATCGCAGGCAGGGCCGCACGCCCCACTCCATCCTAGGGACCCCAGGCCTCCCTGAGCTGTGAGGGTTCTGTTCCTTGTTGAGCCACAGACCACAAGACGCATCCACACATGGTCCCCTCTCCTTCAGAGGTCGGCCTGGCTTCTGAAGATTTGTGTGGCTGCCATTTTCCTCTTTACATTCATGAATTCTTAGTGTCAACCACTCTACCTGTTTGTCTTAAATTTCTCCGTGTTTTTGATTTCCGCCCCCTGCATTAGTTTTGCAGTGGCTCTGCCCTTTCCACTTTGTATCAGACAGACCCTAGGCCCTCTTCCAGCAGCTGCTTCTGAAGGGTTTATGCCATGCTGTCCATGGGCCCTATGGCTGGGGCTCCGAGCTTCACCTTATCCTGTGCAGGGTGGTTGCTGTTCCGCAGGCTGGGGACGGACCCAGGGCCTGTGACACACCCCACTGCACCACCCCTATGGAGTGGGCCTGAGGCTCCCTGGCTGTTCCTCTCATGGCTCTCATTTGTGTCCAGCGACATGGACACTCACTACATTTGGGCCCTCGGGCCACGGGACCTCAGCCCACGCTGTGCAGCACCAGCTCCCCGCCCCCGCCTGACTGCAGGTGCTGGGGCTCCCCCGGCAGGCCCAGGGCGGCCTCTGCTCCATGGTGCCTTGCTCATGCCAGAGCCCTCCATGTTGCTGTTTCTGTTCTGTGGGGACCGGGGCATCCTAAGACAAGCGCTCAGCGCGGCCCACTGAGCCCCACCTCCACCCCACCCCGGAACCTCTGGGTTCAAACGGGCTGCCCAGGCCCACACTGCCTGGACCAGAGTTCACCCACTCCCTTGCCCCAGCCAGCAGCCTGGGAACTCCCCTCCCCTGTGAGGACAGTACGGCAGGCTGGGACCATCCTGTGGCCACCAGTACAGCGTGCAGCTCTGGGCTTCCCCTCCATCACGTGTCAGGAGCCCGGGGACACTGCAGGCGCAGCAGAGACAGCACTTGTGCTGTGGCCAGCTCTTTATTCAGGGCCTCCCAGGCAGCAAGTGCACACATACGTGTCTGCAGCAGCCCATACACCTGCCGGACACCACTGGTGCACAAGCTGAGTGCAGGGCCTGAGCCCTCTGCTGCCACCGGGCTGCCATCCCAGGCTTAGGACCCCAAGGTGTGGGCTATGTGACCCTCTGGCTGGGAGAGGGGTGGGTAGGAGGGGAGGCCTGTATCCTGTGCACCCCAGGCTGCCCCGAGGTCAGTGTGGGGTCTGTGGTGCCACCCTCAGTGGCCCCTGAGTGCTGAGCCTGGCAGCGTGAGTGGTCGCGTGCTCGGTGTGTGGCCTGAGGCCCGTCCTAAGGCTTTGCTGCTGCAAGCTGCTCTGCCCACACAGGAAAGAACTGCAGGGCCTGTTGCCCGCCATGGGTCCCAACAGCTCAAGTCACTGCTGTCCTCAGCGCCTGTGGCTGGCAAACCAGGAGAAGAAGGGCCGAGGGCGGGGACGCGGGGCCTGGAAGATGCGCACGGTGCGGGGCGAGCGCCAGGCCTTGATGGTGGCGTCGTCACTGGCCGTCAGCAGGAGCTCCTGCTCCTGAGGGCTGAAGGCCACCGAGTTGACCACGTCCTCGTGCTGCAGCTTGGCCAGGCAGATGTTGTAGTGGCGGTCCCAGATATAGCCATGCCGGTCCTCGGCCCCGCTGCAAGACAGGGCCTGGGTGAGCCCCGCGCCCACTGCTGGGGCCCCACCCCGGCCCACCAGTGCCCGGCACCCGCACCTGGCCACGAAGTCCCTGCTGACGTCCAGGAAGATGAAGAAGCACTCGTCGTTGGGCGTGTAGGCACGGTGCGCACGCAGGGCCCGCTTCACCTCCCGCATGGTCTTGAGGTCGAACACCAGCAGGTCGATCTCCTCCGCGATGGGCGGCGGCTGCATGGGGTCGGCCACCACTGAGCCGGGTGGCCAGGCACGGCTGTTCACGTACAGGTACCTGAGCGAGGGCATGCGCTAGGACCAACATGCCACAGCCCGGGCTGCTGCAGGTCCCACCCAGGAGACGCAGGCCCACCTGTTGTCAGGGGACAGCCCCATGCCAATGATGTGTCCGTGTACGTCGATGACATGGTCCAGCGCGTCAAAGAAAGCATCGGGGCCCCGGCCCTCACCCAGCACGGGCCCCGCCGTGGTCATCTGGTGCGGCAGGATCTGCTTGATGCCTGTGGAAGGCAGAGCGTGCAGAGTCACTCCGCAGCACCCCAGCCTGGTCTGAACCCACCCCCGGCATCGCCCAGCCCTTGGCCGGGACCGGGCGTGCAGGGCCCGCTGCCCAGGAGCAAGGGGGCCAAGGGGCCTGGCTGGTGGGTGCTGCGGGTCCTGTGCGGCCCCCGGCCCTTCATTACCGATCTGATGTGGCGAGTAGGTGAGGCAGCCAGTGGTGAAGATGAGGTACTTGTTCCTGGCAGTGCTGTGCTCAGGCGGCTTGGTGCGGCCCTGGGCCAGCAGTGCGGCCACCCTGGTCTCTAGCGCGCGCTCTGACAGCCGTGTGTGCCCGTCCAACATGCCGTCTAGCGCACGCCGCAAGCCTTCCTTGGCACGGCCTGGGGCACACAGAGCCGGGCCGGCTGCCCTGTCCTCACTGTCACACCCCAGGTCGAAGACACGGCAGGGGGGCACAGCCTGGTCACCAGCGTCCAGCAGGAGGTCGGGGCTGTCGAAGCGGCTGCAGTCGGCCACCATCACCGTGCGGATGGTGCTGGCGTTGAGGTTCTGGATCTTGAAGAGCCGCTTCACCACATTGACATTCTCCGACTCCACGTCCTGTGCAGGGCGTGAGTGGTGGGGGCGGGGCCGTGGGTCAGGCCAGGGAGCCCCACTGCCCACCCTACCCTTTGTCTTGGCCCTGGCCCTGCCCCTGCCCCTGCCACACCTGGAAGGCGTTGTTGAGCCACAGCACGGAGCAGGAAGTGATGTCGCCAATGCGGTGCAGGTTCCCCGAGATAAGGCTAGTTTCTGTGAGCCAGCAGCCGAACACATCGTACGGTTTATTTCGCACTCGGGACAGCAGGGCGAAGGAGTCTGCGGGGAGGCCAGGGCTGGGCAGGCTGTCGGCAGAGGGCAGCAGGGCGGCCCAGCCCAGAGCCCCTGCTCACCTAGGCTGATGACAGCAATCTCACCAGATGAAGAGTTGTGCGGCCCCAGAAACACACCTGAGGCCAGCAGCAGCGAGTCATCCTGGTTGAACTGGGAGAACTGGGTGTAGCTCCAGTTGTAGGGCCTCATGTCTGCGCTGTGCAGCAAGGAGATGGTCAGGTCATTGTTCCAGATCTGCATGGAAGGCGCAGGTGGGTGGGACCTGGCCAGGACCCTCGGCAGGGGCAGCAGCAATCCCCTGTCCCGGCCCCACCACTGAGGCTGTCCAGAGAGGCTCAGGGTGAGAGACAGAAGGCTCCCGTGTGGCCCTGTCCTGGGCAGCTGGATCCCCTCCCATCTGTGGGTGCCATGCAGTCCAGGCCTGGGTGCAGGCCCAGTGACACCCTCACCTTCACCGTGCAGTCCTTAGAGCAGGAGGCAAACTGGTACCCCGAGTGGGAGAAGCTGAGGTGTAGGACCTGGTCCGTGTGCTCCTGCAGTGTCTGCACCTCCACACAGGGCACTGAGTCGTAGAGCCGCCGGAACTCCTCATACCAGGACGTGGCCGCTGTGGGCAGGACAGTGTCACCCCTGCACCCAAGCCTCCTTCCTCAAGCAAGACCGAGGGCTGCAACCTGGGCCACAGGACCTCCAGGGCCCTCTGGTCACAGATCAGGCCTCCGCTGGGCCTGCACCCTTGTGCTCATGGAGACCCCTCCCCACCGAGTGGCCCTGCCGCCCATGTGGGTGCTGACCTGGGTGTCGGGGCACCTCCCGGGCCACCTGATAATAGCGGTAGAACTGTTCCCTCCACAGGAACTCATCGCGGGAGACTGCCTGCCACTGGCGGCACACCAGCCCGGCGGCCAGCAGGTCAGCAGGGCCCAGGCTCAGGAAGATCTGGTAGAGGAGGCAGTCGGGGAGCAGGGGCGTGCCCCCCTCATCCATCGTGACATTCTGCCCGGGCGGCCCTGGAACCACCAGCAGCTTTCCTGACCCTAGGCCCCCCTCACCCCCAGCCCCGGAAAGAGGCTGGAGCTGGGAACCCCACCATGGGCGCACCCACGCTCCATCAACCCACTCCCCAGGGCTCCCGGGACTCCTGCGCCCGGGACCCCAGGCCCTCCTCACCCCGGACGGGCCTCGGCCCGGGTCACACCGTCCCGGCCGGGCCTCTGACCTCCATGACCCGGAGCCAGGATGACACCGGTGCCAGGGCAGGGAAGGGCCAGCGCCACCCCTCCCTCGGCTCCTGCTTCCGCCCCGGCCGCCCGAGGATTCCAGCCGGGGCCCGACTTCCTCCTGGTGGTCTCCGGGCTCCCCGCCGCGGCCTGGGGACCCCAGCAGCCCGCGCGTCGGCGGCAGGTGCAGGCGGGCGGGGCGGTGAGGGCCGACAGTGGACCCGAAAGGGGCAAGGTCGGGGGCGGGCGGCTAGGAGTGTAGGGCCGGTGGCGGCGGGAGAAGGCCGGCCAGGGACGAGTTGGACGAGGCCGGTGAGGCCAACGACCGCGACGGGGCCAAGGCCGGGGCTCACCGCGGCGCCTCCGCCCGCAGGCCTGCGCGGACCCACTTCCGCCGCTGCCGCTCTGGACGCCGGCCCTGAGTCTCTATGGTAGAGTCGGCCAGGCTCGACGCGGCGCGCCCCGAGGCATCGAGAGCCCCGGCGCTCGACCGTTGCTGCCTTGTGCGCCTGCGCGCCTGAAGGCTCGCGCGGAACAGCTCCCCTGGTGGCGAGTAGGAGCGGCGGCCGGACAATGGGTCCGCGGTGGAGGCTCTGTGGCACGGGTTCGAGACCGACCCCAGCACTCTCCCGGGTCGCGCCGACAGCAAGCGGTTTTATGAGGCCAGCTTTGGCTGTGGGGATAAAGGCAACTGTTGGTGGTTTACAAGCCATGGATGTGCAAAGGGCTGAGCCCCAGTGGAAACGTGGCGGTTAGGGGATGGACCAGGAGCCAGAGGTCAACAAGGACTTTGTCCCCGGGCGCCCAGTCCCTGTGGAGGTCAGGCTCGAGAGGAGGCTGGGGGCCCCGGTAGGGGGAGGCCAAGGACAGATGTGGACTTCCTGGGCCGGGCTTCCAGGGGCACTGGTTGGTGAACTCTGACCTGGGACAGTGTAGCCCTCAGCCACCCACGCTGCCCCTGCCACCATGCGGTCCTCCAGGGCTGCACTGCTCCTGACCCTGCTCCTGGCGTCCGGCTCCCTGGGCCAGAGGGTTCGGAGGCCCCCTCGGCCCCTGTCCCCCATCAGCACCATCCAGCCCCAGGCCAACTTCGATGCTCGGCAGGTTAGGTGCAGGGAGAGGGGGTGGGTGTCCCAGCTGCCCCATCCGATGTCCCCAGCCCCTGCTGCTCCTGCTCCCAGTTTGCAGGGAAGTGGCTCCTCGTGGCCGTGGCTTCTACTTGCCGCTACCTGCAGGAGCAGGGCCACCGGGCAGAGGCCACTGCACTACACGCAACTCCCCAGGTTGCAGCCATGGCTGTCAGCACCTTTCGGAAGCTGTGAGTCCCAGCAGAGCCCCCAGCCCTGCCCCTGCCCCTGCCTCAGCCCTGCCCCGACCCTGCTGTGACCTGGGCCAGCTTCCCACATGGCTCCTGGGTTGGGGTCCCCTCCACCTGGTGCCCCCTCCCACCCGCTCCCAGGGATGGGATCTGCTGGCAGGTGCTCCAGCTCTACAGAGACACTGGGGTCCCTGGCCGCTTCCTGGTCCCAGGTGAGGACAGGTCTTCGGGCAGTGGGTGCAGGGTGTGGGGTGAGGTGGGGCTGAGCGCTGCCCGACTCTGCCTCAGCCCAAGGTGCCCGGGGGCCTGTGCACATGGTTGTCGCAGAGACTGACTACCAGGACTTCGCCGTCCTGTACCTGGAGCGGGCGCAGCAGCTGTCCGTGAAGCTGTATGGTGCGTGGTGGCCCTGCACTTGGGTGTCCCTGGGTGTCCTGCCCTCCCGATTGCTGGTGCCTGGTGGGAGATGGGTCCCACCTGTGGGTGTAGGAGGGCCAGGGCCCGGCAGGTGCCCCAGTGTCCTGAAAACACCCCAGGCCCCATCCCACCCGTGCCGGGGCTCAGGAGCCCTGTCCGCAGCCCGCTCGCTACCTGTGGGGGACTCTGCCCTGAGCGTGTTTGAGCAGTGGGTGAGGAGCGCCAACCTAACCGAAGAGCAGACCTTGTTCTTCCCGGTGTACGGTGAGTGCTGGCAGCCCCTCCTGGCCAGTCCCCGGCCTACCTGACCTCTCTGAACCCCCGGAGTTTTTTTTGTGTTTTTTGCTTTGATACCGGGGATTGAACTTGGGTCCCTGCGCTTGCACAGCAGGGGGCAAAACCACAGAGCTAAATCCCCGGTCCCTGCCCCCAGGTTTTTGCGAGTCCACAGACCAGTTCCATGTCCTGAACAGTGAGTGGCAACAGGCGGCTGGACATGGGCCATGAGGGCCCTTGGCCCTGCTGAGGCTGCATCGGTGCCAGAGCGAGGGGCTGAGGCCACACAACCCGTGAGAGAAGTCGGCCCCAAAGCCTCAACGACACCACCACCCTGCCCAGGAGCCCCCAGGCCCGACCCTGGCCCAGCCTTGGGTCTCTCCTCTGCCAGAAGCTGCCCCTCCATCCCGGGTCCAGTAGGCCTGGGGCTCATTAAAAGCCAGACTGGGCTCCTGGCTCTTCTCTGTGCTCCCTGGCTGGGATGGGAAGGGACTCAGACTGTGCCTTGGCTTTTCAAGGGCTCCCTCCCCAGGGCCCAGAAGCCGGGTCATCACAGGGAGCCCCCTTCCTGGCCTGGACGCTTCCTGGTCCTGGCCAGGTTCCCCTGGCTCCCACATGGGAAGCTGCGTGGCAGAGCCGCCCTGGGGTCTCCTGGCCAGGGCTTGGAGGCAGCAGACACCCAGGTGCCAGCCAGGCACCCCTGGGGGGTGAGCCCAGTGGGGTCTGTACCCCAGGCTGGGGGCACAGGTCAGATGAGGGTGGGTGTCGAGGCTCTGGCCCCCAGGACCTTACCTGAGCAGAGCTGGAGGCTGAGGGGGTGAGAGACTGGACAAGGGGCCCTGCCCGCCCTCTGGAGCACTGGGGAGGCTGCTCGGTGCCAGGCCCAGGGCCGGAGATGGGGCCTGAAACTGGTCCCCAGAGCCGTCGCAGTCAGATGCCACCTGGCTGCTTGTACACCCCGGGTTCATGGGACGAGCATTTCTCAGGGGCCATGGGGTGGGCAGGCCCTTGATCCTGGGAAGTCCAGGTTCAGCCCCTCCACAGCACCTGGGAGCTGGCCCTCACCCTCCAGGTCCTCTGCTAGGCCCATGGGACACCCAGGACCCTGCGAGCTGCACACAGCTGAAGAGGATGGGGTCCCAGGGCAGGGGGTGGGTGGCCACAGAGAGGGCTCAGCATCCTGTGGCGTCTCCTCTTGCTCCCCACCGTGTCCCCAGGCAGCTGGATGCTGGCTGCCGCGGGCCAGGGGACTGGAGGGACCGGGAGGGGCGGGGCAGGCGCTGCCGCGTGGCTTCACAACCCAGGGAACTGAAGACAGCACGGAGGACCCATGTCGCCCTGAAGACCACAGCTACACTGCCCGGCCTAGGAGAGCCTGCAGTAGTTTGCCCAAGTCCCCAAAATGAGAAGTGAGGGTCTCGCCCTGGCAGGGCATCCAGCAGGGGGCGCTGTCCGAAGGCTGCTGCTCCAGTATGCCGGAGGCGGGGCCTTCAAGGGCGGAGCAGCCCAGGCCGGCCTTTCACAGAGCTCAAACTGACACACGTCTTAGTTTGTTTATTTCTGTTGTGCTGGGGATTGAACCCAGGACCTCTAGCATCCAGAGCATGTGCTCTACCACTGAGTGACCACGTTTAACTTCTCTAAAAGTGTTTAACAAGCTCGAGTTCAAATCAGGAGCTTGCCTAATTCTCTTCAAAACTTAAGTAAAATAATGATAGCTCTAAGTGAACCTCTTCTACTTAAAAATCTTCCCTCTTTTTCAGTACTAGGGAGGGAACCCAGGGTGCATGCATGCCAGGTAAACGCTGTACCACTAAGCTAGAACCCCAGCTCTTTTTAAAAAATTTAATTTTGAGAGTCTTGCTCCGTTGCCCAGCTGGCCTTGGACTCCTGCCGGTCCTGCCCCAGCTGCCTGAGTTGCTGGGGTTACAGCCGCGCAGCTCTGCGCCAGCTCAGAAGCATTTCTTACCATTTGTATTTTGTCTTTAACTCCGATAGGTGATGAGCAACATTTCAGAAGAAAAGTAGTTTTAAAAATCTATGGAAAAGTCAGGTGTGGTGGCACGCCTGTAATCCCAGCACTCCGGGAGCTAAGGTAGGAAGGCTGCTGTGAGTTGGAGGCCAGCCTAAACTACAAAGTGAGACCTTGTCTCAAATAAATGAATAAATAAATAAATAATAAAAATCTGGGCTGGGGATTTAGCTCAGTGGTTTCACTGCCTGCCTCGAAAGCACAAGGACCCGAGTTCAATCCCTGGTACCAAAAAAAAAAAATCTATGGGAAGGACCACTTAACCAGGGTCTTGGCTGAGACCTTCAGAGGCTGGGGACTGGACGGGGCCCCAGCCCAGGGCCCCGGGCAGCACTAGGGTCCTGCATCTGACACAGTGGAGGACAGCACCAGGCACCTGGGCGGAGGCGGCGCCCTGTCCCCGCCTCAATGAAGGCGGGGGCGGGAAGCGAGCGGCAGGAGGGGACCAGGCTCAGGCGAAGTCGGCGGCCTGGAGGCCCCGGGGCCCCGGCCCGGCCCCACTGTCCCCACGCCTGCCCTCCCCCACACTCGGCCCCCGGAGCTGCCCGCCCGCAGGGGGCGCAGTGCCAGGGGCGCAGGCCTGCGTGGGTGCCGTCTGTCCCCGGGGGCGGGCTCCCTGCTGCCGAGCAGTCCCGAGTGTGCCCGAGTGCCCAAGGGAGAACGGCGCGGGCGGGGCTGGGGTCACTGAGTCCCTGTCCCGTCCAGCGCCCCCCCGAGTCCCCTCTGTCCGGCTCCAGAGCCCTGGCGCTGGGCCCCGCCCTCCTTGCCGCCCTCTCCGCGGTCTCGGGGCGTGGGCAGCGGCCCCCATGGCTCCTCGGCCCAGGGCCGGTCACGCTCCCTGCCTGGGACAGGAGGTTCCGCGCCAGGAAGGGCAGAGGGCGCTCGGAGCCTCCCGGGGAAGGGGACACGGAGGCCAAGGCCCGGCCTCTAGGCTGGCACTGGAGTCTCAGGCAGGTGCACAGGCCTGCGAGCTGTCCCAGGGCACCAGCCAAGCCGTGGTTCCACCTGCCGACCCTGGCCCCGGCCGGGCATGGGCCCCCAATGCGCCCTGGGGCTCTCCCTGCTCAGAGTCCTGCGGGCCCAGACCTCGCTTCTGCCGCCCGCCCAACCGCAGCTGAGCGGCTTCCAGTCACCAGGTAGGGGCCGGGGCTTGGCGGGCAGCAAGGGAGGAGGCATGGCCCAGGCCACGCTGGCCCCACGGGAAGGCCCTGCTGGGTCCTCTGGGCCCCACCTCTGGTGCTGGAGACTGAGGCTCAGGAAGCTGGGCGCGTGGGATGCATGTCCTGTCACTGCCTGCAGTTCCAGGGAGTCTGGTTCGTCCGAGGCCCGGCGGGCAGCAGCTTCAAGAAGCAGGACTGGGCCTTGCTGCACCCCTACACCACTGTTCTCGAGCTTTCCGGAAAGTAACGGCCACTTCGAGATGTCCAATGCCATGATGCAGTGAGTGGCCTGCTCCCATTGTCCCTGTGGTCGAGGATTAGGGCCTGCCCCGGAGCCACCTGCAGCTCAGCCACAACCTGGGCAGCGGAGCAGTGTCCCCGAGGCCACTGTCCAGGGCAAGGGTCAATGCACACTGCTCAATGACTCGCTGCCTCACCCAACCCAGCTGGTGGATTGCACACAGAAAAGGGGAAGCATTTACTGGGCTGCCATCCTGGAAGCAATAGGCTGATGGATTTCAGGCATGGGTGGATCCAGGAGCTCAATCCCTGTTTCCCTCTCCCTCTGTCAGTTCTGCCTGAGCCAGCCTGACTCCTGATTGGCAGGTTCTCATCTCTCAGCCTGGAGCTGACAGTGTCAGGATTCCCAGTTTTTTTAAAAGGGTTTTTTTAAGGGTTGTTTTAAAAAAGCATCTGGGGGACCAGGGATGTAGCTCAGTGGTTCCATGGTCTGCCTCGCAATCACAAGGTCCTGAGTTCAATCCCTGGTATGGAAAATAAAAAGCGCTTAGGAACATACTCTGATTGGCTCTTCTTGAGTCATGTGCTTCTCTTGAACCAATCACAGCATCCACCAATGAGAACTGATTGGCCTACCTGGACTGGGTGCCCACCCCCTGTTGGGGTGATGGACAGGGCGGGAACCTGAAGGGGCCCCACCCCCCTGGGGAGCAGGGATGCGGAGGTCACCTCTCCATCCCACCAACCTCCTGGCGCACCTGCCTGGGTGCTCGGGGAGCCCCTGTCAGGGCCCTCGGAGTCCAAGCAGCGAAGTGCCCACAGGACTGGGGCCGGGAGGCCGAGGCCCGCGGGCGCTCTGTGTGGCCAGCCCGGGTGTAGCCTCTGGCAGTGTGGGCTCCGGGGGTCCCTCAGGCGCCGAGCACAGCCATGGTGGCCTGGAAGCCCCAGCAGCTCCCCTGCTCCCCTGTGACCTCTCAGAACCAGAGCTGGGCTGTCCGGACCACCGCACCCCCCAGCCCTGGGCACCCACCTGCCCCGTGCTGGTTGGGGGTGCCCGGGGGGGGGGGCTGCTGCCCGGAAAACCTTTCACAGTCACATCCAGTCAGGTCCTGAGCCCTGGGGCAGGGACTCCAGAGAAGAGCCGGGTCCTGGGGGGCGTGGGGCGCCCTCTGCCCTCAGTGCTCCTCCACCCCACAGGGGCAGGCACTGTGACAGCTGGTCTTACCTGCTGCCACCCGCATCCCAGCCCGGATGATTCACCATGGAGCACGGAGGTGAGCGGGGCGGGGGTGGGGTGCAGAGGGGCTGGCAGGGCTCACACCTGTGCCTGCAGGGCCCGGCACAGACACGGGGCAGGTCCAGGTGGTCAACACCAACTACACCAGCTTCGCACTCCTGCTGTCCCGCAGACAGGCGGCCGGCCAGCCGGTCATCAGGGTCAGCTTGCTGGGTGAGCCCACGTGCCCGGCCTGCATGACCCGGGGCAGAGGGGACTCGGGGACAGGTAGGTGGCTGGGGCGGTGACTCAGGGCAGTGTGGTGCCCGGCTGCAGCCAGGACCTGGATGCTGGCCCCCGGGATGCCAGAGAAGTTCATCTGCCTGAGGACAACGTCGTGTTCCTGGCCACAGCCAGGGATGGGGGTCGCAGGGAGTGGCGATGGGATGTGCACTGCCACCTGAGCCACAGCACCAGCCTCGAGGCTCCAGGCCTTTGAGCCCGTGAGGGGCAGCTGCCCGTGCTCCCTGGCTGGGCACTGAGATGACCCATGGCAGAGGCTGCCGTGACCATGGTCCACACCCACGCTCGGTCCCCACCACCTCTCCCTCCAGGCCCCGTGGACACTTCCTGTCCGCACACACAGGGCCCCTCAACCCCTGGCTGAGCCACCACTGGGCCCCCGGCCCCCAAGCCAGCTGCCCCACCCACTGTCAGGGTGAATAAATGCGCAGTGCCTGGACCTCTGGTGTGACCACTGACCGGACAGGACAAGGAGACTCACTCACCTCACAGGGCCGCCAGTTCCTCAAAGCACCATGCTGGCCGCTGGGTGCCCAGGGCCAGGACACTGCCCACCTGTCCCATCGAGCTCAGTCCCTGTGCCTCCCTGTGGGCCAGGGCACCCCACCCCCTCCGCTGGAGCCCAAGAGGAGGAGGAGGCCCCGACACCATGCAGATGCCCCACAACTGTGTGGGCGTGGCACCCGGGACCCACGGAGACCACAGAGGCCCCACAGCCACTGGCCTGACCCTCATCCAGTCCTGCATACCTGGAGGTCTCATGGCCTGGCCCGGGGCAGCCAGCCCAGAGCGAGGGCACCAGAGGCGCCCACCTGGCCCGATCCTGCTCAGGGCTGGCCTCCGCCACCCACCTAGCCCTGCACAGCTTCTGCAGGGTTCTCCTCACCCCCTCTGCACTGACAGGGAAACGGAGGCCTGGGAAGACTGGTGGCCACTTGGCAGGGTCATCGTGTCCCGTCCCCCCCCTCCGCCCGCCATCTTCCCCACACAGCCTCCCTCCTGCTCCGGCTCCCCTGAGGTCTGGACCAGCCTGAGAGTCACCTTCAGCCCGCCTGGGGGTCCAGGGCCCTGCCCCAGCCCCCAGGGGGAGATGCCAGCCAAGCTGCAGCCTGGGGGTGGGTTCAGGGCTTGTGGGCCCAGGGCCCTGTGCCCTCTGTGATCCCAGCCTGGCAGGAGGCGGCCTTCACCCCCGGCTCGCTGTCCCCAGTGTGTGTTTCAGGGACCTCTGTTCCCCAGACAACTGCATAGTGAGACCCTGTCTACTATGAGCATCAGTAACAAAGACTGTACTTTTTAAAAACCTCAGCTTCATGCCGGGGATGTGTGCAAAGTCCTGAGTTCAGTTCCTGGTACCAGAAAAAAAAAAGCCAGGCATGGTGGTGCATGCCTGTGATCCCAGTACTTGGGAGGCTGAGGCAGGAGGATTTCTAGAGTTTAAAGCCAGCCTGGGCTACATAGAGAGACCAGGTCTCAAAAGCAAAACAAAGGGCTGGGGATTTAGCTCAGTGGTTTCACTGCTTGCTGCCCAAGCACAAGGGCTCAAGTTCGATTCCTGGTACCAAAAAAACCAAACAAATCCCGCAGCTTCAGGACAGTTACCAAGGTACAGTGCCCTTTTCCTTCCAGGAAACTGGCTCCAAACCTGTAAGGCACAGGGAGGCCCTGCCCTGGCCACGTTTTCATCTCAGGAACTGGATACCTGACACCCGCAATTTAAGGAGAGGTCTGTTCGAGCTCCCCATTTTTTGTTTCGTTTTGGTTTTTTGAGACAGCATTACTAGATACTCTTCGTTTAACAACCTACCTGTTTAACAGCTGGTCAGACCTGCGACCCATCTTTTTTTGTACGTTCTGTACGTCTTGTTCACAGATCCTCAATGTCTTTTTCTGTACAGCTCACCTTGTTCATACGGTGCTGTCATTTGTGCTACTTGTGCTGTACAGTACTGTGGTTCTGTGTTCTACATTCAGTACTACCCATTAAGAGTTATGCAAACATAAGCAAAGTCATCGTCATCGAGTTGGAGTTTCCTTTGGCCGTTCCTTTATTCTGAATATTGTAACGTACATGCTGCTCCTCATTTAGCGACCGATTTGTTTAAGGAACAGAACTCAGTTGCTAGTTGAGGAATGTCTGTATGTGGCCTCGGCTGGCCTCGAACTCACTGCGATCCTCCTGCCTCAGCCTCCCGAGTGCTGGGATCTCAGGCATGTTTGTAGAGGTTTGGGTCCATGGTCAGTGAAGGACTCGGACGCCCCCTTCCGAGGCTGACCAGAGGCCACGTTAGCCTCTTCTGCCCCGCTATGCTTTTCCCGGCGGAAGATGCGTGGTCACGTGGTCGCTCAGGTCTCTGCTCCCAGGGCAGCTGTTCCTGCCCGGTGGCCGCGAGGCCTCCTCCCTGAAGCCCCGGAGGCCCATTCGGACCTCCCCTTCGCTGCCCCTTCATGCTCATGACCCTGCAAGGACCTCACAGCCCCGCGAGAGCTGCCATCGGGTCAGAGTCGGGACGGCCGCTCCGGCCTCCTCCTCTTTCCTCCAAGGCCGGAGGGGAGGGTCCTCCCGGACCACGGCCTCCCCAGGCTCCGCCCACCGCGCGCGGGACCCAGATTCAATCACCGAGTCAGCGCCCGCGTCTGGGCTGGAAGCCCCGCCCCTAGGGGGCCGCCCCTCTCGCGGGCGGGCCGGTCTGGGTCGGAGCCCGCTGCCGCTCGGCAGCCTCGTGCTGGGAAGAGGCCTCCCGGAGGTCGGTGACCCCGAGGCCGAGGAGCCGCAAGCCCAGCCTCCCGCCTCGCGCCCCGCCTGCCGAGTGGCCTCGGAATGTTCCAGATCGTGCCCTTACAGGCGAGGTCTGACTTGGCCGATCGCTGACCTCGGCGCGGACCCCGTTGCCCAGGCGACGGTTAGAGGCGCCCCGGAAGCCGGTGTGGCCGCCACTGAGGGCTGAGGCAGGGAGATTGCAAGTTGAGCCCAGGCTGGTGATGTAGTCACTTAGCCAGACCCTGCTTCAAAATAGAAAATAATTTTAGGAGAGGGCCTGCGGTGGCTCAGTCCAAAGCCCCGTCCAACCCCCAGCACCACACGGAGCGAGCCCGTCGCCGGCGGACATCAGGCCCGGGTCTGCGGAGAGGCAGAAAGAAGCCCGTTGTCTGCGCTTTTCCAAGAGAACACGGAGGACAGAAGGCACAAAGTGCCGGCGGTCGCGCTGGATGGAGGCCGACTCCGAGGAAGCCCCGGAGCCCCGGCAGAGCGCACGCCCGGGATCCGCCCACAGGAAGTGCGCACCGCGCTCTTAGCGCTGCGCCTCCGACAGCGCGGCCTCAAACTGGGCCGGGGATTTAGCTCAGTGGTTCTGCTGCCTGCCTCGCAAGCGCAAGGTCCCGAATTCAATCCCCGATACCAAAAAAAAAAAAAAAAAAAAAAAAATTCCAAAGAACTGACGCCAAAGGAAGCCGGCGTGCGCGGCCCCTTCCTGAGCAGAGTCGGGGCACAGGTGCGTGGCGTGGGTCCCTCTGCCACCTGCTGCTCCTGCCTGGCCCCTCAGGCTGGGCGATGCCTTGCAGCGACCCGGCGCCCAGGGCAGCGAGGAGGGTCAGAGCGCGGGTGGCCGCTGTGGCCGGACAGGAGTAGCCCCAGGCCCGCCGGTGCAGGTGGGGTGGCCTCCGCCGGCCCACGCTGGCCAGCGTGGCCCCAGCCCTGCCTGCCAGCAGCGTGGGGCAGGGCAAGTGTCTTCTTTGGCCGAGGGACAGCAGCCCCTGCCGTCACCACCTGGGCCTGCTGGGCCTAGACCCGCTGCCCGCTGGGGCCTTTGCCGCTGAGCCTGCAGTTTTCAGGGACCAGGTGGTCGGCATGGTGGGCCCGGCCCCCAGAGCAGGACTGGAGCCCTTCTGGGGTGGCCCTGCCCTCCCTCCCCCGGAGGCGTCTTTCCGCAGGGCCTGGTCACCTACAGCCCACATCCGCCTGCTCCCCACCGTGAGTGCTCCCGCTGTCCGTGTGAACACGGAGCTGGGAGCCCCGTGCCTTCCGCCCTCGGGGGAGGGTGCTGACTGAAACCCCAGGGGGAGGCTGAGGCAGGCGTGGGCAGAACCTCAGGACCGGGCGGTGACCCCTCACCTCGGGCTTGGCCTGGGAAGGGGCCCCCACCAGCCGGCCTCTGCAGAACCCCTGAGCCGGCAGGGGCCCCACAGCGCCCTGTGCGCCGCGCTCAAGGCAGAGAGGGCCAGGATGTGGCGTCTCCGTCTGCAAGAGGCTTCCCCAGGGAGCCAGAAATCGGCACAGAGGAGCAGAACCCACCCAAGCCCTGGCCGGGCCTCCCAGCCACAGCTCAGGCCGCCTAAACCTGACTAGAAACAAGCGAGGGGAGCCAGAGTGAGGGGGTGCACGGCTTGGCCAGGGGGAGGCCGGGCATTGTGTGTACGACTCACACACGTGTGCACAGGGGGCGCCGGGGCACAAAGACGTGTGCGTAAATGCAAGGCACTCGCGCATGCTGCACAGATGTGCACAGGCCCGCGCACAGGCACGGGGACGCGCAGACACCCTGGGGGACACCGACCCTCCCCCAGCGGCACCGCCACCCTCCATGCTGTCTGCTCAGCCGGAAAGCTTGAGGCCGAACCCCAGCATCGCACGGGCTCAGAAGAACACCACAAAGTGAGCGTGCAGCAGCCCGGAAGGTGCGCGTGGTGTGGCTGCAGTCAGAGGAAGCCTGGGCCACAGCCACAGAAAACAGAGTGGGCGGCGGGGGAGTCCCGAAGGCCTCAAGGGACTCGGGTCGGGACAGACACCCTCACTGTTCGGACGAGGGTGACGGCCGTGTGCGTGTTCATGTCCATCGAAACATCAAATGGGAAAAAACCCCACGGAAGCAAAAGCGCGTAACTGGAGTGATGTGAAAGGGCCACAGGGCCACGGGTGGCTCACACCTTGTCATCCCAGCTACTCCTCGGGAGGCTGAGTCAGGAGGGTCACAAGTTCTAGGCCAGCCTGGGCAACTTAGGGTGACCCTGTCTCAAAAAAAAAGTGCTGAGGCTCCCTCCGTGAACCTAGTACATTTACAAACCTGGGTATCTCACTTCTTGATATTTTTGCATTACTTAAGACAGAAATTTGATAACTCAGAGGGGAGGGGAAATCTGCTGCTAGAAATCTGAACTAAGTGCCATCCTCGTCTGGGTAAGATTTGGGAAACAGGGCCGGGGATTTAGCTCTGGTTCCGGTGCCTGCCTCACAAGCCCAAGGTCCCGTGTTCGATCCCTGGTACCAAAAAAAAAGAAAATCAGCTAAACATCACATAGAAGACAGCCATTAAATTATTAAAAAATTAATTTATGAAGAAAGGCCTTTTGTACAGACTGAAAAAAAGATTTTCTTAGAGATATCTATATGACCAAGAAAGTTAATGTTTTATTTTTATTTTACTAGTGCCACAAACTTGCCAGTGGTAATGTATTTGTCCGGTCCGAGATAACTCTGTAGTTTCCCTTCCTAGGACTTGTTAACGCCAAATTACACTTGTGAACTGTACAGCTGATCAGATTGTTAGCTTTTTTCTGTTTTATTTCTTTTGACAGCCTTTGAATAAAAAATTCTGAAACTTAAAAAAGTAAAATAAAATGTGCTGAGGCTACAGCTCAGTCGCAGAACACTTGCCCAGCATGTGTGAGGCCCCAGGTCCCAGCACTGCCAGAGAGAGGGAGGGAGGGAGGGAGGGACAGGGCGCTCCCAATGGCCGCAGTTGGAACAATTCGAGCAACAAAATAATGAATCGCTGGGCAGGGGATTTAGCTCAGTAGTGCCGCCACCGCTTGCCTCACAAGCACACGGTCCTGAGTTGGATCCCAACACCAAAAAAATTTTAAAAACTGAAACATTAGTTCATACGCCAAAGCATAAAATAAATGCCCACAGTGCACGTTGATATAAATAAATGATTGCACAAGGGAACCCGGGAGAGAGAAGGGAAATGTCATGAAGAGAAGTTCCAAACTGGCAGAGGCCAGTGCCCGTGACTAGCCAGGGGCAGCGAGTGAGCACAACGGCGTCTTCACCCCGACCCTGGGCCAGGAGGTCAAGGTCAGCTCAGCAGGGCAGCTGAACATCTATTTCTCAAAACTCAATCAGCCTCTGCGTCCTGTCCGAGGTGTCACCTCGTCACTGCGTGTCCACCTGTCCCTCACACCTGTCCTGCAGGTGAGTCCGCAGCTGGCCCTGCAGGTCCATGCTCGGAGACCCGGCCTTCATGAGGCCCGAGGCCCGCTCCTCTCCTGTGGGCCCTTCACCCTCTCAGTGTCTGTAGGCATTTTTAAAATCCATGCCCTCAAGCTGGGCATAGTGATGCATGCCTATAATCCTAGCACTTGGGAGGCTGAGACAGGAGGATCGCAGTAAGTTCAAGGCCTGCCTGAACTATAATGAGACCCTGTTGCAAATAAAATAAAATAAAATAAAATAAAATAAAATCTTAAAAATTCATGCCCTTGGAGATCTGCATCCTATCTTTATCTCGAGACACCTGTCTGTGTGGCCAGGGTTTCCCAGGAGTTGGCCTCTGGCTGCTGTGTCCATACAGGGTCTCTACGATTGTTGTGTGTATCCTGAGGATTGAACCCAGAGCCTTGCGCATGCTTGGAATCACTGTACCACTGAGCCATTCCCCAGCTGTGCCCTACAGGGTCTCTGTTTCTGTCTCACTCATGCTTTGTCTGCCAGAGCAGCCCTCAGTGCAGGCTTGGCAGACAGGGTCCCCGAGGCTGCTTCCCTCCCTGGCCCCTCCCCGCATCTGCTCCAGGGTCTACTCCAGCCTGGATGGGGACCCTAGATCCCTGCATGTGGAGCTTCCAACGCAGCTCCCTGGGGGGACATGGGGCCCCTGAGGGAGACAGCGGGCCTGCTGATCACCTGCCAGAAGCAGGCCCTGTCTGGGGCAGAGCCCAGGGCTCTCGCCTGTACCCTGGCAGCAGTGCCCAGCAGAGGCCAGGCTGCCCCAGAGGTCCTATGAGCAGGGTGGGCTGCAGCAGATGAAGGACCCATGTGACGCTGCAGGGAGACACTCAGAGCCTGGAATAGGACAGCGACCTCCCAGGCTTTCAGGGTGCAGGGGGAGAGAGATGCCCAGTCTCTCCTGCTTGGCCTCCCTGTGATAGAAGCCACACTGAGGGGTCCTGAGGGGCCCTCCTGGAGCTCAGGGTCTGGGCCACCGAACTCACATGTCTCCAGGGCCCTCAGAATTTGCTGCAGAGACTGTGAGGGGCAAGGCCTCTCAGGGGACATGCTCTGGGCTCCTCTCAGCCTCAGGGCCATTTAGGGTGGGATGTCAGGAATCCCCCGGGCAGGGGCCCCTTGGCTCTCGGTGCAGCAGGCTGGTCAGGGGCCACATCCCAGGAGGAGGCTGGGGGAGGTGGTGTGCAGAAGATGTGACCTCGTGAGTGGCCCTGGTCCAGGCTGGACCCATGCACCAGGCAGGCTGGTGCCAGGCCAGCCCCGGCACGGCACACTCTGTCCCTGCCTCCTGGCCAAGGGACCAGGAACAGCAGCCTGCACCCTGGTGGGGATGGTGGACACAGAGCTGGGCCACCAGACCGGGACAGGCTGGGGCAGGTACTGGGGCAGCCACCCAGAGGGACTCCCAAAGGTGCCACGGTCACCCACCCTGAGCAGGCTGGGAGCGGGCTTCGAGCCCCAGTATGGGGGGCAGAGCAGGGAGTGTGGGGCAGGGTGAGGCCTGGGGTCCTTCCTGGGAACCGGTGGTCACAGTAGGTGCCCCCTTCCCTGGACTGAGACCGGACACGGAGTGACAGCAGGTGGAGACCCCAGCTCCCTAGGTTGGAGGAGGGTAACCCCCTTCCCCCTGGCCCAGTTACATGGAGAAGGCAAAAGGGGCAGCATCCAACCTCTCACGTGCGGGGACAGCGCCTCTCATCCTGGGTGAGGCCCCCAGGGAAGCCCAGTAATGGAGCACCATCCCCCCCTCCACCAGAGTGGGGCCCCTAGGGGTGGGACCCAGGGCCTTGAGCTCACCTCTGCCCGGGATTTGCATCCAGCCCAGTGAGGAGAGGACAGAGTGAGCGGCACCTGGGCAGGCGAGTGGGCGTCCAGCCTCACGTGCACAGGAGGCCCGGGGAGATCAGCTCCAGCCCTGCATGGGGCCCCAGCCAGTGAGCTCTACCACAGCCCTCAGGAGCCCGGCCTGGAGGAAACGGAGGCTCAGGGAGGCCATCTGGACTCCAGCCAGGGTCACCTTGCCCCCACCAGATCTGCCATCATTGGTGCAGACGGGGGTGGCAGCGCGACACTGGCCCTGCAGCATTGGCCTCACAGTTCTAGGGGGAGCGATTTGGATTTGTTCCCGGCCTGGTGGCAGCTCGGGGTGCAGGTGACAACCTTCATGCTCAGGTGGTAGCAGCTGTCACCACGCCTGTCCTTGGGTGAGACAGTGGATTCCCTGCCAGGGGCTGGGCTGGGGAAGCTGGTGAGGTGGGTGCACCCTCGGGGCAGGGGTGAGTGTGGCCCATGGGGCACGGGGAGTCCCTGCCTGTCCCAGCTGCTGCGATTTAGAGGAGGAAAGCCCTCGGTCTTGGAGCCCAGGGGCTGGGGAGGCCAGGATGGGGCAGGGCTGAGCCCAAGAAGGCCACAGGCCTGGGCTGGTGGCAGGGAGGGCAGGGACAGCTGCGTGGGGGCTTTAGCTGGGACCCCCCAGCTGGACACCCGGCAGGCCCTCCATGAGCCTCCTTGGGAAGCATGGGGACCCCTGTCTGCCTCAAACTACCTTGAGCTCCACTCCAACCGGGGCCCCCTTGCTCCCTACAGGGCCCTCCTGTGGCACAGAGCCAGGACTGTGGTCCCTGAGGGGCAGCCCAGCCAGGACCCCTTGGTAGGCTGGGCAGGGGAGTCCTCTGATCCCACAGCCGCCCTGGGCCGAGGGACACTCCAGGGAAGCCCTGTGCGGCACCCTCAGGGGTTGTGTCAGCGCCAAGGCTGTGCAGGAGTCAGCTGGGCCCGGCTGCCCCTTGGCCTCAGCCCCTTCCTGGGCCTGAATGGCTCTGCCCCAGGGGCCCAGCCCTGAGCTCCAGAGCTGTGGCCGTGGCAGTGCATCCCCGGACCTCCGCGGCACTCTTGCCATCCAGAATGGGTCTCGTCCCTCCCTCCCACTCCTGCACACAGCGCGGCGATGGCAGAGACAGGCTGAGAGGGACGGGCCACAGTCTGAACAGGAACTCAGGGCCGCCTGCCCTGTGGGCTGCCAGTGCCGCCCCATGAAATCACAGGACCCTGGGGCCCAAGGAGGCTGTCCCTGCACCCCTGCCTGGCTTCCTCTGCTGCAGTCCAAGCCGCTTCCACTCCTCCTGGCATTCAGAACCCAGAACGGTCTGTCCAGCAGCTTCCAGTGGCCCAGGGCACCGCCCCTGCCCCACTCAAAACCCTGGGGGGTGCCTGGGCAGGCTGAGGCCTGGGCTCCTCCGCAGAGCAGGAGAGTGGATGCAGCGGCCCCCAGTGCCCTTCCCCCCGCCTGCCACCCACGGCCCAGGCCAGGGCACAGCAGGTGAGCTGAGCCCGTGGGGCTGTGTCCCCCTGAGCCCAGGGGACACTCACCTGAAGGTGCCCACAGCCCCTGGCAGCCTGCAGCCCCTCCTTCCCCAGGTGCCCACAGGGCCACCATGAGAGCAACGGCTGGCGATGCGGAAGCTGTGCCCAGCACCCTGGCCCTTCTCTGGTCCCCAATTTCACTGAGCTTCTTCACCTTGGTTCTCGCTTCTCACCCCTGCTGGGCCTGGGGGTCTCAGGACCAAACTATTGGGTTCCCTGTGGGGCTGGGGCCTGGAGAGGGGCGACGGGCAGGGCTTTAAGAAGGTTTGGCCCCAGTGGGGTGTGATGGGCCCCAGAGCCGGGCAGCACTGAGGCACACGCAGCCTCCCCTCCTGGCTGCTGGGGGTCTCTGTGGGCAGGGTTCCTGGCTGCTCTGCCCTGGGACTGAGGAAGGACTGGCCGTGCCCCGCTGGGGCCTCACCCACCCTCCCCACCCTCGCTCGCTTGCTCGGCAGCGGGGCCCAGGCCAGCTCTGTGGGAGCCTCTTGCATAAGCAGCCCTGTGGGAGATGCAGCTGCAGCTGGCCTGGCCACCCTGCCCCCCCCACGTCACGAGCCTGAGTGGGCTGTCCTTGGGCCTGGGCGCAGGCCAAGCCTGGCCAATAAATAGGGGTCTCTCTGGTGCCCTCGGCTGCTCCTGCCGCCCCCTGCTCTGTGCGCACTGCTGGCACCAGGCCCCGACACCTGCCGGCACCACAATGGCCTCTCTGGGCTCACTGTGGACCGGGCTGGTCCTGCTGGGAGTGCTAGGGGTCCTGGGGGTCCTGCAGACTGCAGCCCAGGCCCAGACCTCCTTGCAGTCCGACTTCCAACAGGACAAGGTGAGGGTGCCCTGCCCCAACCCGGCCTTGGCGGGGTCTTCTCCCTGGGGAGAGGGCGCAGAGCCTGTGCCCAGCGTGGGAACACGACCGGCAGATAGGCCAGGAGGTGAGGCAGGCGTCTCCCCGCATACGCGGACCACACGGGCACTGTGCCGCTCCAGCTTGGTCCCCGCGGGCACACGTGGGCCCCTCAGGTCCCAGGAGGCGGCGCCGCACCGCGCAGGCCGGAACGGCGCAGAAACCCGCCCTTCGGGACGGAGGTGGGGGGTCCAGGGGTCCGCTGGAACTTGGCGCCCCTCCTGCTTGGGAGGCAGGGGGTGGGGCCTCGGGGCGGGGCGGGGCTTCGATGGGGAGGGGTTTTGCAGCAGGGCGGGGTTTCTGGTACTGGGCAGGGCTTCAGGGAGGGGTGGAAGTGGGGAAGCCAGCCCAGGGTCGGGATGCGGGTCCCCGGGGTCGCACCGACCCGGGCCCTGCTGTCCGGTCCCCGCAGTTCTTGGGGCACTGGTTCAGCGCGGGCCTCGCCTCCAACTCGAGCTGGTTCCGGGAAAAGAAGGCGTCAATGTCCATGTGCTCGACCGTGGTGACCCCCCGCGAGGACGGTGGCCTCAACCTCACTTCTACCTTCCTCAGGTGGGCGGGTACGCGGTGTGGTTTCAGGGACCAGAGAACCCTGTCCACTCTTGCGGTCTGGGGACACCTTCCAGATTCCTGACCTGGAGGTGACCTGCCCATAGGAAGGACCAGTGTGAGACCCGGACCATGCAGCTGTGGCCCGCGGAGACCCCCGGCTCCTACAGCTACCACAGTCCACGTGAGTGGGCGCTCAGCCATCCCCCCGGGCGGGACGCAGGCCACTGACCTGGACCTCTGCCCGAGGTGTGGGCCACACCACAGGGTCGGACCTGTGTGGATCTGCCACATGCACTGTCTGCAGCCCACTTGTGTTCTGCCAAGCCGCTCCTCCCCTTCCCTGGGGAATTTCCAGTTCTGTGCTGTCCACACAAGGCACACGGTGCCCCGAGTCCCCTCCACACCTCCTCAGTTCCCTCCCCAGGAGGCAGAGCCCCCCCTACATACACATTCTGGCCAAGAGTTCTGTGACCTGATTTTCTGAGCCTGGGCATTTCCTGTCCCCCAGAATTTCTGGTCTGGGGCACAGTTCCTGGCTGTGTGGCAGGAGGCAGGGAGCTGGCTGGCAGCCCTCTGGGGAGGGTCAAGGACAGCGGCCAGGATGAGGGAGCATCCTGGGCAAGTAGAGGGGGAGCTCTGGGTCCCCCTGAGGCAGCCCTTCCCCAAGTGAGGGTGGCTAGGTGTTTGGGGTCCTGACCTGCTGCCTCTGGTCCCCAGGCTGGGGCCGCACCTCCCTGATCTCTGTGGTGGAGATCAACTACAATGAGTATGCACTGCTGGACACCAAGGGCATTGACCATGACTTCCGCATGGCCACGCTCTACAGTAGGTGCCCAGCCCTGGAAGGTGTGGGTATAAGCCTGGGGCCTGGCCCTCAGGGGGATGTCTCAGGGGTCCCCAAGACAGGAGCAACTGATCCAGCCCCTCTCCCCCCGCCAGGCCGCACCCAGACCCCGAGGGCTGAGCTGAAGGAGAAATTCTCTGCCTTCTGCAAGGCCCAGGGCTTCACAGAGGACACCATTGTCTTCCCACCCCAAACAGGTTGGGGGCTGCTCTGCCCAGAGGGATTAGGGTTGGATTAGGGTAGGATTAGAGGTAGGCAGGTCCCTGAGTGCACCCCGGGCAGGCTAGGAGGGGCTGGACTGCCTACCACCAGCCCCCTCCCCGATGGACACCAGTATCCCCGGCTGCCAGGCCCAGGATGCAGGGCCCTTGGCCTGGGGGGTGGGATGCCCATGGAGAAAGACCACTGCCTTTGTTTTGAGGAGCAGGGCTGGGGGACAGGTGGGACGGGACCTGTGCAGTTTGGGGACTCAGCCAGGCCAGCTTGCCAGGGCTTTTATTGGGGGGGGTCCACAGTGTTAGGGGGCCAGGAAGCGCCAGTGGGAATCCAGCTTGGCCTGGGGCTGACAGCAGCCACTGGACTTCTTTCTTGGCAGATAAGTGCTTGAAGGGGAAGGAGTAGGTAAGTGAGTCCAGTGGGCATTTCACCTGGAAGAGAGACTCACTCCTTGACACATTCTGTACACATCCACCACCTCTGGGGGGAGGGGGAGACACAGGAGGCCCTGAGCAGAGCGGACATCGGGTGTGGCTGTCAGAAGGAAAACCGGGTCCCAGCCACTGGGGTAGGGCTGACCCCAAGCGCTCGTGGGGGGTGCAGGTGCCAGGGGCAGGGGCTCTACCCGCAGGCACCATCCTGCCGTGGGGTCTCTGGCCCCTGGGCAAGGTCCCCAGGGAGCCTGGATGGGGAGACAGGAGGGAGGTGGGCAAGACAGTGAGGGAGGGCAGAGGACTCTCACTGCTGGACTGGCGGCATTGCTGTGATCTCAGAGGAGCAGGCTCTGCAGGGTCCACAGGAGGGAGGCGTGGGCTGGAAGCACCCCGTAGGCCCCACATGCCCATCGACCCTGCTCTCCCCGCCAGGTGATCCAGCCCTCAAGACCCCTCTGCTCTGTACCTTCCTCCAAGACCCCAGCCTGAGCTCCCCAAAGTGCCTCTGCACCCCTGATGTACCCCAGATCTGAGAAATAAACTGAAGCAAGTCAGAGCCCTGCCCTGCCTGTCTGTCCTCAGGACACCTCCTGTAACATCTCTTCAGGGAACCCCCAGGGGGCATTTGGTCCTGGCAGGGTCCTGAGCCAGGACAGTGAGGGGCAGTACCCAGTGCTCCCCGACCCTGCACAGGGCCCTGACCTCTCCATGGCCCCCTCCGCCTCACACTGGGCCTCTCCGAGCTGCCGGGGTGACAGCCAGGCCTGGGCTGGTCGGGGGGGTGGGGGTGGGGGTCCGTCAGCAGCTAATCCCCCAGGCAGTGCCAGGGAGCTTTGGGCCTGACAGGGTTGTCAGGCCTCGGGATTAGTGCTCTCAGATTAGGCGGAGGCCTGGGATGGAAGGGACAAAAGGAGCACTTGTCTAGAAGGGGCTGGAGAATCTGTGGCCCCTACTGGGACAGTGACAGAGGGACAGTGGGCTGGGCCTGGCCACCCACGCCTCAGCCCCTTGGCTCCCTCGGGACACCGCCCTGCCCCCACCCGGGCCCTGGCACCAACACCTGCCCCAGTGCTCAGTTCACAGGTGCAGTCACCTCGGGGTGGCCTTCCTGGAGGGGTGCTTGGGCTGTGCCAGGGGTGAGGGGCTCTGGGGGCCAGCGAGGTGGGGTGGGCCGGAGGCTGCCAGGCAGGAAACAGGAGCTGGCAGGGTGGGCGGGGAGCCGCAGGGTGCAACTTGATCCCAGCCTGCCCTACATATGGGCTGTCGGGGGCAGCCGCCCCAGGCCATCTTGGGGACATAAAGGCCCCGCAGAGGAGGCTGCCCCAGCTCTGCTGCACACCCAGCGCCCTCAGGAGCCTCCACAATGCTGCCGGCTCTGCCCGTCGCTGCCCTCCTTGTCCTGCTCCAGCCGTCCCCAGGCCAGGCCCAGGTCCCCATCCAGGCCAACTTTGACCCCAGCAAGGTGCGCCCGCTCCCACTCACTGTCCTCGAGGGTGACCAGCCCCACCTGTTTCCCCATCCCAGGCTCTCTGACCTGGGAGCTTCGGGAAAAGCCCCCACCCCCATCCCTGGGGACACAAAGACCTCCTGGCCCTGCTGTGGACGGTGCCCGCCATGGCCCACCGCTCAGGCCTGCTGCCCCTCCTGCAGTTCCAGGGTCTCTGGTATGTGGTCGGGGCCGTGTCTGATGACCAGGGCTTCCAGGATGCCAAGGACGACATGAAGATGCCTATGGTCTCAGTGACCTCCCTGGCCAATGGCGACCTGGCCCTCAAGTTTGGGTATCCCACGTAAGTGACCCAGGCCTCATCACACATGCAGCCTCGGGTGAGGGCCAGGGCGAGGCCACATGAAGGCCAGCAGTGACCCTGACACCCCAGGGGTATGGACCACGGGCTCCTGACAGCCTAGGCTGTGGGGACCCAAATAAGAGTGCAGTGTCCTTGCTCCTCAGAGAGACCCGGGCCTCACAAGCCTGCCCGAGGCCTGGGTGTGGCCTGACTGTCAGTGTCTGCGTGTCCCAGAAGGCCTGTAAGGCTGCACTCCATGAGTGCCTAGCAAGCCCTGCACAGCCCCCGCTGCCCTGTATCAACCCCAAAGCTGCTTTAGGCCTGCGCGGGTCCGCAAGGGCGGCTGCTCAGGTGCAAGGTCCCCCCAGGCCTGATGGCGGCTGCCAGAAGATACAGACAACCTACACCAAGGGCGCAGCGGATGGGCAGTTCAGCAGCCCAGGTGAGGCGCCTGGGAGCCACAGGCCGGGGGGGGGGGGGGGGCTGGGCTGTGCAGTCCTAGGACCGCGCAGGGGGCTCTGGGGCGGGGCTCCCTGGGCGGGGCTCCTCGGGCTCAGCGGTTCTCTGCTCACAGCCATGGGCCAGACCGACATCCGCGTGGTCTCCACTGACTACGACAACTTTGCCCTGATGTACTTCGAGACGCAGAAGGCGGGGGAGCGGAACGTCTGGCTGCAGCTCTATGGTGCGCGGAGGGGGGGGCTCGCCGCCCCCGGACTGGGCTCAGGCCCTCCCTGAAGCCGCCTGGGGCGGGGGGGGGTGTCGCCGCCCTGGCCCCCGTGTGTGCCCAGGGGGCCCCGGGAACCCCGGGTCTGTGGCAGAGGGGTCTGGCCGCGCCCAGGACGCCCTCCGGCCCTGCCCGCTGGGCTCACCTGCCCTTCGGCCCCCAGCCCGCGCCCCCGTGCCGTTTCCTGAAGGCGCCCAGAAGATGCAGGAGCTGGTATCTCAAGTGGGCCTGAACCCCGGCCAGGGCGCCCTGCTGCCCAAGTCGGGTGAGCACTGCCCCCGCCCCAGCTCCAGGGACTCCAGACCCAGGCTGGCAGGGCGTCCTTCCTGCTGACTCCAGGGTGGGATGGAAGTGCCCAGGAGGGGTGGCTGCCAGGAGGGATGGGGCCCGGGCAAGGGGACACAGGATGCCTGAGGCCCGTTCTCTCCACAGAGCAGTGTACCAGCGCGATGTTCCAGGTGAGTGCCCTGGGATGAGGGGATGGGGTGGGGCAGGGGGAGGCTGGAAGGGCTGGTTACCCTGCGTCCAGGCCCTGGCCAGGGATAGCACCTGGCACCTGCCGCTTGTTTTGCAGTGAGGGATCCAGGTCAAGTGCCGGTGGGGGCCAAGCCACCCTGTGTCTGGAGCCCTCTGCAGAAAGCACCCCATTTCTCTCCCCAGACCCCCAAACACAATAAATGGTCTTGGAAAGTCAGCTGAGGTGTGCTTTTCTGGAGGTGGGCACAGTGGGTGGCAGGGTGGCCTGGAACAGAGGAGCCCATGAGGGTGGCTGAGCCCCAACCCCTAGGGCCCAGGACCCGCCAGAGCTGGGCACCTTTGGGCACAGGCTGGAACCTCTCTCGGTGGCCCCCACCACCGGGTCCCTGTGCAGGTGTCGGCCCGCGAGGGACAGAGGTGGGCATCAAAGGGGCCTTCCTGGTGCCCTGGGCTGAGGGTGGGGACAGAGGAGCCAGGGCCAGCTGAGCTGGTCCAATAGAACATGCACCCTGGGCTCCAGCAGCCACTGGCGATGCGCTGGGCCACTGGGGTCCTCCAAAGGGCAGCCCAAGGCCGGGAGCTGGGTGCAGGCCCCTGTGTGCCTGGGAGACCCTCCCGGTCCCAGCTCCCCCGATTCCGACTGAGCGCAGCACCTCTTCTGTGCCTGTTCTGTGTCCCCATTGCCTTGCCCAGCTGCTGTGGAGCCAGCTGAGTGACCCCAGCTGAGTACATGCCCTACCGGCCCAGAGCACGGGGAGAGGACTGGGCTTCAAAACCTTCTCACCGCATGTTTATGCAGGACAGTGCTCTTGATAAGGGCACTGCCCAAAAAATCTAAGGGTAAAACGCAAATGTAAATGGTTCGGCAAAAAATTTAATAAAACAAGTTGTAAGTTTGTAAAAATATAGATAATTCTTCCATCTGGGGCTCTATACTGTTATCTCCGTTGGTTGAAAATTTTCATTAAAAGTATAATCCCAGCAGGCTGAGGATTTAGCTCAGTGGTTTTGCTGCCTGCTGTGCAAGCGCAAGGACCCGAGTTCGATCCCCGGTACCAAAAAAAAAAAAAGTATAATCCTAGGGCTGGGGATTTAGCTTAGCAGCACCACGCCGGCCTCACAAGAACAAGGTCCTGGTACCAAAAAAACCCAAAAAATTTAAAAAAAAATACAATCCTCTCTCTCACACCTCTGCTCCTGATTGGGGCTGAGAGGGCATAGGTGAGGAATAACCCACCCTAGGGCCCAGGCAGCCACTCTGACGCCTCCATGGGGCTGCAGAGACCACGAGGCTGTGCCCTGGAGGGGGCTCCTGCCACGCATGCCTGTGTGCGGAGCCCAGTGCTCAAGTGGCCGCTGAGAGGCGCTGAGCCCCCGCTCCACGGACCACACCCCAGGAGAAGGGCAGAAGGCGCTGCCCGGGGCCACAGCAGCCACCAGGGACAGCGCTGGGCTCTGCCCTGGTGGGGCTCTGGTCCCCACCCAGCGCTCCGGCGCCGGCTGGGGTGGGAGGTGCAGGTCCCCCTCCACAGCCTCGGGACCCTGCCTTCCTCCTGAGACGGGGCAGCCCCTGGGACCGGCTGGGCAGTCACCGCTCATCCTCTGCAATTCAGCTTCTACTTGCCATGTCCTGCACCAACCTCCTCTGGCCACACGGGGGCAGCGCTCAGCCGGTTCTCCACCCAGAAGCCCAGGGGGTGTGTATTTACAAACTGTCAATTCTTGCCCTCTGCTCAGAACCCCCACCCCCTACTAATGGCACCCCCAAAGTGAGATCAAAGCCCCCATGCTGGTCAGATGACAGGCCTGTCCTGACAGGCTTTCCTCAGGCACCACCTTCTACTTGTGTCTCTCTCCAGCTCTGCCCCAGGGCCTTTGCATAAGCTGTCCCCTGCCTGGAATGCTGCCCTACAAGCCATCCACCTAGTTCCCTCCTCTCCTCTGCAGTCTGGATCAAATGCCCCTGTGCTCGGATTCTTGACTTTGGATTCTTGGATTCAGCCCTAGGCCCCAGCTACCTTCCCTGTCTGTAGCTCAGCTGGAAGTCACCTGCCAGCTCCCTCCCTGGTGTTGGTCAGCCGCGCTGCTTTGCCACAGGGCCTTGTCTCCGTGCTGCCTGTGCCACGGCGAGCCATTTAAGAGAGAGGGAGACATGAGAGCCAGGAGGAAGTCATGGAGGAGTTGACTTTCGGGGTAAATACAGGAGCAGCTTGTCGGCTGCCCAGGTAAAGTGGGGCGCAGGAGACTTAAGTGTTAACGCAGGGGAGGGGGTGGCTTGGATCGTCCGGGACCTCACAGAGGCCTTCGCTGAGACAGTGGCAGTGGAGGATGGACGCGTGGAGGTGCCGAGGATGCAGGGCACAAGCGTGGCGTGTGCAGAGACCGGGTAGGAGCCCGCTTGGGAGCCGCAGCAAGGCCCACAGTCACCGGCCACCTTGCCTGGGTCGCCCCGCTCCGGAGCCTTGGGCTGGCCCGATCTGCGCCCCGCCCCGGGCCCCGAGCCGCCTCCTCCCCAGGCCGCAGTTCAGCGGCACGGCTGCGCACACAGAGCCGGTCCTGCTGGGCCTTCCCCGGGCCCCTGCGCCACCGGGCCCCTGCGCCACCGGCGAGTCGGATGGATTGGCACGGGAGCGCAGAGCTCAGAGCCTTCCGGAGGCCCGGCCTCCACGAGGCACGGAGGCCGCCCGGCGGCCCTCACTCTGGGGCTGAGCTCGAGACACTTAGGTCCTAGAAGGTTTGCGACGTCTTAAAGCGATGTGAGCTACAAGGGGAGCCAACAGCTTGGCGGCCACAAGAGGGAACCGCGCACCCGGCGAGAACCCAGGGGCTCAGACCGGGGACGCGAAGGCCGAAGCCCGGAGTCCGGCGGGACGTGGGCATCGCGATCCGCGGGCATCCCGATCCGTGCGCCCGCCGGCCCCGCCCACACCAAACTCCTTCCGCCCCCGCGCGGAACCGGGTCAAACAGACATCCCAGGCCCCGCCCATATCAAGCCCCGCCCAGCGGCCAGACAGGCCTACGCCCCGCCCCACGCAGGCGCCTTAACCCCCACGTCCAGCCCGCGCCTGACCCCGGAGGCGGGCCTTCTGCGCAGGCGCGTTGGGCCAGACGCGGGACCGGGTCCGCGCTCGCCAAGCTGTCATCATGGTGCCGCCGCCGCCTCCGCTCTGCACGCTGCCCCCGGGCCCGGGCTCCCCCCGCTTCGTTTGCTACTGCGAGCCAGAGGGCAGCGCGGCCGGAGATCGCGGCGTCTTCCGCCTGCAGTGAGTGAGTGGGCTCCGGTGGGTGAGGGCCGCACCCCGGCGGCTGCGCTTGACGCCCCCTCTCCCCAGCGTGACGGACGGCTTGGAGCTCTGGAGCGCCCGCCTCCCCCCGGAGGGCGAGGCCACGCGCGTGCGAGCCGGCCCGGGGCGCGCGGGTTGGGGGGACCCCGCAGGCCTGGGTCCCGGGCAGCCACAGGAAGCCCGCTGCGGCCTGGGCGCGGACGAGGACCTCACTGCGCGCTTCAGGTGAGCCCAGGCCCAGGAGATGGGGCGGGGGTCCGGGGGCCGCACCAGTACCCAGGCGTCTCCCCAGGTCCGCCTGCCAGCAGCGAGCCGTCGCCCTGAGCCTGCGGGAGGACAGCGCAGCCCTGACTCTCTCGGGGCCTCCCTCGACGCTGACCTTTGACCTCTCCAAGGTGCCCGGCCCCGAGGCCGCCCCCAGGCTGCAGGCCCTGACCCTGGGCCTGGCCGAGCGCGTGTGCAGCCTGGAGCAGCGGCTGGCAGGTAGGGTGGCAAGGGCACCTGTGCCCTCACTGGAGCCCTGCCAGTGAGTGTCACACGCCGGCCAATGAGTGGGGCGCCCCGCTTTCTCCGCAGCCGTGGAAGAGACAGCTGCCAGCCCCAGCAAGAGCCCCCAGCCGGCAGGGCCTCCGCTGTTCTTACCGGGTGAGGTGTGACCCGCTGCGGGGGTGCGCTGGGTCTGTCCTCTCTCCTCTGGAGCTGTCCCCACGCGAGCCTCAAGCTCCAGAGAGGCTGTGTCTATGCGGAGGGGGTCGTGGCTGCGCCCAAGAGCCCCCATCGTGTTCCCCAGACCCCGATCCCCAGCGAGGCGGCCCTGGAGCTGGGGTCAGGAGACGGTCTCCGGGGGAGTCCCTCATCAACCCTGGCTTCAAGAGGTACCTGCCCACTTGTCCCTGCCCACTTGGAGCCCTGCCTCTTCTGTCACACCCCACTGCACCACCCCTCTTCCCCGCAGCAAGAAACCAGCTGGTGGTGTGGACTTTGATGAGCCCTGAAGGGAGAGCCAGACGTCGGGGAGTCTGCGCGTGCGGGACCCTACCCCCTCGGCCCCACCCTACTGTGCGGCGGGCCCCTTGTCCTTCACGGCCATCGAATAAACAGATGTGGTGGAGGCTCTGGCCCGGGGACAGTCAGCTGTGGTGGGGCCCTGGGGCCGGGCCAGGATGTGATCAGGCACCCGGGCTCCCTGCTCCCGGGTACCCGTCCAGCTCTGCCTGCGCGGCCGGCTGGGAGCTGAGGGGCCCCGCTAGGCAGGGCCAGGACACCGGGGCTGGGACTCCTCTGGACCCCTGCTGCCCCGCGACCCTGCTGGAAGCCTGCAGCCCGGAACGTGGGCCTGGCGCACCCACTTGGCCGAGTTCAGCCGGCTCTGATTCCCACCCTGCTTGGCCATACCGTGCGCCCCGCCCCGCCTGGCCTGACTGGTTTGGGAGCCCCATCCAGTGCCCCAGATCCCGGGGCCTCGCCTCTGCGCTTCTGTGCTGGGCGCCCTGGCCTCTTCGTGGGCTCCGCGGGAGGCTGGGCCCGCCCCACCCCGGGGCTCCCGGCCTCATTCCCGATGTCTTCTCGACTTGAGCCTCCCGCCCTGGGCTCAGGTAGCAGTGACCCGGCCTCTGGTCCCTGGACATCAGGACGCGCTCATTGAGGGCAGAGAACCTTTATCGAGGGCAGGTGGGCGCTAGCGGGGGTGCACGGCGGGCCGGTAGGCGGCCAGGATCTCTGCGCGGTGCGGGCACGTGTACTTGAACTCCTTCTCCTGCAGCGCCAGGTCCAGGTAACGGCGCACAGCGCGCAGCTCGGCGGGAATGGGTGCCCGGCGGAAGTGCGCGCACACCGTCTGCGGGGACGCGGCTGTCAGGGCCTTGCCGAACCCGGGCCCAGCGCCCTCCCTCCCTCCCGCCCGGTTGGTGCTCACGTCCACGACGTGCAGCTTGGGCAGCAGGCCGCAGTCAGCCAGCGTGAGCTGGTCCCCGTCCAGGAAGTGGCGGCGGGACTCCTGCAGCTGCGGCTCCCGCGCAAGCTCGTGTTCCGTGGGCGCGCGCAGGTAGCCGTCCAGCCGGGCGAGGGCGCGCAGCAGCTGCTGGTACAGGGCTGGGGGCGTGCGCGGTCAGGATGGGGCCGGGGGCCCTCGGTTGGGATGGGGCCCGGGGCGCCCCGCCCCGCACCCCCCGGGCCTCACCGTCGTCCTGCGCGGGCGCGGGGTTCTTGATGAACGCCGAGAACTTCTGGAAGACGTCATTGCCCGCCGTGTTAGAGTCCCGGTGCCTCGGGGCCAGGCTGGGGAAGCTGTGAGGCGGTTGGCGTGAGGCGCCCTCGGACCTCTCTGCGCCCTCCCCTCCCCGCTGGGCCGCACCCCGGGCTCTGTCCTGCGGCGACCTCCCCGGACCCCACCCTGCCCCTCGGCCCCGCAGCCCTCACTCGGGCGGTCCCAGCGTCTCCTCCAGAAATTCCTCGATCTGCAGCGTGTCGGTCTTGGCGTCCCCGTCGTAAAGCAGGATGGGCAGCTGCGAGCCTGGCGCGAAGTCCTTCAGCACATCCAGCGCCCTGTGGCACCAAGTGGAAGGGAGGTGGCTGCCCCAGGGGGGAGGATCGGGGTCAGGGTCAGGACGGGGTCTCACCTGCGCGTGTCCACGGTGGTGAGGGTGAAGGGCACGCCCTTGAGGAGGAGGACCATGAAGAGCCGCTGGCAGGAGGGGCAGTGCCCGATGCTCTCGCCGTCCTCACTTGCCTGGGCAGGCAGAGCGGAGGAGTGGGGCTGGGGCAGACCCAGGAGCGCTGCCGCCAGGCGGGGTGGCCCCTGCCTCTTGCTGCCCAGCAACTGGAGCCACTGCCAAGGTCCAGTGTGGCCAGGCACAGCCTGTCCAAGGGCCCAGTGAGAACCCTCGCCTGGCTCTGAGGAGGCAGGGAGGGGCTGGCATCTGGGAACTGCCCCCTGGAGCTTATCTCAGCTCAGGACACGGCCCAAGCCCTGGGGCACCGGGCCCTGAGGTCCAGGTCGGTTGCAGGGGCACGGTGGGCCCAGCCAGCTGTTTCCTGAGTGATTCACCCGTAAGGCTGGGCACCGTGGCTGGCAGTACACGGCTCTCCCAGCTCCAGGATGGTAAGGAGCAAGGGCCTGGAAGCCCCCAAACACAGATCTGGACACTGATCTGAGGATGGGGTGTGTTTGGCCCCATGCTGGCCGCCACCTCCCCACCAAGGGGCCATCCTCAGGAGCCGAGGCAGAGCAGGGCCTGGCTGCCCCAGGCCTCTTGGGGGACTGCCCGACTGTCTGCCCTCTGGTCGGTCAGGCTCTGCGGGGCTGCAGGAGAAGGGCTCAGACCCACCACCCAGCTCCTCCCCAGCCCAGCTGGCCCAGAACCTTCACAAACAGCTGGAGCTTGGCGGGTTCAGCCATGGTGAGAGCTCAGGTGTCCGACCTGGCGCAGGGCACAGGGCGGGGACCTGGAGCTCTTTAAATCTCCCTGGATGCCCCGCCCTGGCTGGCCTGGGCCCGCCCCCTGGAGCCACCAGGCCGGCAGAGGAACCTGTTGGACTGCACAGCTGGCTGTGGGAGTGCCGGGAGCCTGAGCCCGGGGTGTCCAAGTGAGACAGTGACACAGGGGCCCCGGAGTCTCGGGGGTGGGCCAGAGGTGTGCCCGGCTGGCTGCCCCAGACTGAGGCCGCTGTGGGTGTGGGCAGCCAGTGTGCTGGGCTCTGACCAGACGAGAGGCAGGGGGAGTCTGGCCTGAGGGGCAGGGGTTGGTGCTGCTTAGGAGCCCCCAGGCACTCAGCCCAGAAAGCCTAGAGGGGGGCGGCAAGAAATGCCCGGCCTGGCCGCTGCCTCAGTCTCCCCTTCAGTGCCATCCCGGATGCGGCCAGGATGAAGCTCATAGGAAGAGACGCCCCCTCCCGCCTTGAGTGTCAGGGGAGCCCTTCCCTGGCCAGCCCGCATTCCAGACCAGCCTCTGTGGCAGATAAGCTGCCGCTGGGGTTTGGAGCTGCAGGAGAGTGGACCCCGGGCTCCCACCCTGTCCATGTGGGCTCGGGCAGGTGTTGCACCCACCAACTTCAGGCAGCACTCAGAGGGGTAGAGGCCACCGCGCTGGGCCTGGGCTGGGCGGAAGGGCGGAGCAGGGGGCTCACCCAGGTCTCCCACCTGCCACCCACCAGGGTCCTCTGCCACCGGAACCTGCAGCTCTGCGTTCCCCCTGGGGTCCCTGCCCTGGTGGGGGCAGCCACAAGGGAGTTGCCTGGGCCTAGGGTGCCTGCACAGGCCTGGCGCCACCCAGTGGTCACATGAGGGGCCAGCCTGGCTGCCTTGGGCCCCCGGGCCAGGTGTGGTGCAGCCGAGGAGGGGCCACACCTGCCCGCCCAGCCTGACTCCCGGCCAGACTGGCCAGCGCTGAGGCCCACACTGCCCTGGCCGACCCCTTCCTGGACCCCCTCTTGGTTGGGCTCCCAGTCACCGGCATCCTTGAGAGTCTTGGACACCGACTGGCCTTGTTTGGCGGCAGCACCCTCGGGTCTGGCTCTCCCAGGAAGCCTGCTTCTCCCCGTCCGGTCTTCACCTCAGCTCTCAGGCCCAGCATTTCAGCTGCTTGTTGATGATGCAGTCAGGGCCCCCACCCGCTGGTTTCCAGTGTCCCTGGCAGGCAAACTGCCACCGTGGAGAGGCCATGAGGCCTCCACACCTGCTGGCGGCCACCAGAGACCCTGAGGTACCTGTGGAAGTCCACAAGGAAAGCAGGGAAGGGACAGAAGGCATGGGCAGCTCAGAAAGGAAATCCAGAGAGATGAACGCCTGACGACTCTCTCCTCATGCTGGTTTCAAGAAACAAAAGTGTGCCGTGGAGCTGGCCAGGATGGCGCAGGCCTCTAATCCCAGCACTCTGGGAGGCTGAGGTAGGAAGATCACACATTAAAGCCCAGCCTGGGCTACATAGCAACTTAGCAAGACCCTGTCTCAAAATTTAAATTTTGAAAAGGGACAAGGGTGTAGCTCGGTGGTGGAGCACCCCGGGATCCAGCCCCAGTACCACAAAAAGGGGGAGGGAACATGGCTCATCACTGTCCCCAGCAGAGCTGAAGTCATCCGCCTGGCTGGTGGCCGGCATCTCTGCAGGCCACACCCCATGCCCCTGGCCACCTGGGCTGACCTAAAGATTCCCGGCTGCAGCATCTGCGGCAAACCCAGGGCCCTGCCCTCCCGTCTGGGGGGGGGTCTGGTGTGTCCTGGGCAGGGAACAGACGGGGCCCACTCGTGCCTGCTGTGGGGGAGTCTACATAGCACTGCAGGCTGACTGTGCCCTCGCCAGTCTCAGTAGTAGAGTCCTGACCTCAGGACCTCACATCCCGACAGGTACGGGGTGACCTGGTCAAGTGGGTGCCAGACAGACCTCGATACAATGTGTCCTCCTGAAAAAGGAGGGCTGGGGTGGCTCCCTCCTGGCAGGTACTTGCTTGGCCACTAAGAGCAGAGCCTGTGATCTGGACACAGAGATGCACATGGAGGAGCCCGTAGGGGATGAGTCCTCCGAGCAGAGCTCCTGAGGGCCTGGAATATCCTCTGAGGTCTCACCTTCTGGGCTGCAACAGAATGGGTGGTTGTGGCTCTGCATGGTGCTGTGTGGCAGCCACAGGAAAGGGGCACATGCGGCTCAGGAAGTTGAGGCAAGCGTCATCCATGAGCATCCGTGGTCCTGAGCAGGAGCCACCTGCAGATGACCCTGCAAGACGCCTCCTGTGTTCTGTCCACACAATGTGGCTTTTCTCGTCGGTGTTCAGAGTGAGCGTCCAGAGGAGCCAGGACAGGTTGCAGCTCAGTGGCACTGCACTCACCTGTCACACACAAGGCCCCTGGCTTCAAGAAAGGAACCAAGGACAGAAACCCACTGCTGCCATGAGAAGGGCTGTCCCACAGCCTCCCAGCGCCCTGCAGGGCCCAGCTCCCCTCTGGGGGCCACTGGGCTCGGGGCCAGTTCATCTTCCTCTTCATCCCAGACTGAGGTCCCAGAGGCCCTGGCCAGAGACTCCCTGATGCCTTAGAAGTTCTCCCGCCATGGTCTTCCCCGGGATTCTATTTATTTATTTAGCGAGGCCTGCTGTTTCCTCCCATCTCTCCTTCTTCCTGTTCCTCCTTCTCCTCCGTCTTACAGTACTGAAGATCAAACCCAGGCCCTCACACATGCTTGGCAATTGCTCTACCACCAAGCTTCATCCCCAGGCCTGTTATCTTTTGTTGTTTACTCTGAGATAGATTTGTTTTTTTGTTTTTTGAGACAGAGTCTTGCTAAGTTGCCCAGGCAGGCCTCAAACTTGGGATCTTCCTGCCTCAGCTTGCCTCAGCTGGGTGCCACTGCCCCAGGCCCTGTTCCTGAGGGAGGCACAGACCTGTTGGGGAGGGGACCTGCTGGTGGGTGCTGGCGGGGACACACAGGTATTGCAGAGCTCTGTCCACAGACTGTGCCTAGCAGGGACCCTCGGCGAGGATCAGCCCCAGCCCCAGCTCTGTTTCCAAAGGCAGCCCCTGGATGAGTCAGTCAGGGCTCTGCCCCAGGCTGAGTGTCCCCAGGACTTGTGTGGCAAGACCCTCAAGCCCAACTGGAGGACAAGGATGGAGCCCTTGTGATTGGGTCACGACCCCGATCAAGGGGCTCTGGTTCTCCACATGACATTACATATATTTTGCCACAATAAAAATGATTTTTTAAAGAGTAGGAAATATTTATTGAAGGAAAGATAGCTTCTGTCTAAGAGAGACAGAAGGGGACCCAGAAAGTGGGTTGTGCAACACAAATTTTTTTTTTTGGGGTACCAGGGATCGAACTCAGGTCCTTGCGCTTGCGAGGCAGGCAGCAGAACCACTGAGCTAAATCCCTGGCCTTTTGTCTGTTTTTTGAGACAATCTTTTTTCCTTTCCTTTTTCTTTTTTTTTAGACAAGGTCTGGCTATGTAGTTCAGGCTGGCCTTGAGCTCCATATAACCTGCGCTGGCCTCAGACTCCTGCGTGCTGGGATTATAAGCATGTACACCACATCTGGCAATTGGTTTAAATTTTGAGACAGGAAGATGGCAGAGTAGTGAACAGCAGAGAGGCAGCTTCTCTGAGATTTGGTGTCCAGACACTGGAATAGTAATGTGGAAAAGAGTAGAAGGAGAGAAGTGGGTCCTCAGGACCTAGCAAGGATCTGAGGTGAGATATGAAGTCTGGGGGAGGGAGGGAGGGAGGGAGGGAGGGAGAGAGAGAGAGAGAGAGAGAGAGAGAGAGAGAGAGAGACCTCAATGCAGAAGGAGATGGCAAGCAGAACTTTCTCCCTGAGCCCTGACTCACTTAGTGGGGCTGGAACCTGCAGACCCATGGTGACTACTGGCAACCCCAGAGGCCTCCACAGAGAAGCGCACCAATGGAACAGGGCAGTAGACACTGCAGCCTGCAGTGGCTGGTGAGTTATTCAAGTTCAGATTGGGCAGTAGCCATCTTGGAGGGGGGCCAGCTGATCTTGGAACTCAGGTAGCTGCGGGCTGACTCCATCTAGTGGCTCCTAGTGTCAGGGTGAGGCAGAACTGAGTTCAAGCCAACAGGAGGTCAGGGAGCCAACTTCAAGCCAGCAGGGGGCACAGAGAGTGTTGCAGGCCGAACAATAGGGTTCCAGGCTCACAGCAAGGAACCAGACAACTTCAGTGGAGGTGCTTGCTGAGATTATCCACTGCCCCACTGTAAATCTACAGCTGCCTTTCTGGGATTAATCAACACGAATCTAGGCTCCTTCTGCCCATTTTGTTGACCAGTGACAGCAGAGACACACCTCAAAGTGGACTTTTTTTCCTCTTTCTTTCTTTTTTTTTTTCTTTTTTGTTTTTAATTTTTTCTTTTTTTCTAATTTGTCTCTTCTTGTTTTTATATGTGTGAACATCTTCTGCTTTTTTGTTGTTGTTATTATTTTTATATGTGTGAACATTATTTCTAGTTTTTTGTTCTTGTTATTTGTTCTTGTTTTTCTTTCTTCCTTCTCTCTCTCTTTCCCTCCTGTCTTCTTCACCAGTTGCCCAAAGTTCATGTAATCTTCCTCTGTCCTCCAGCCTTGCTTCTCATCTCTTCCTCTTCTTCTATTTCTCTATTTTTTTTTCCCTAACCCCTTTTAAATTTTCTCCCGTGAGGGTAAAATCACCATATTGAGGCCATATTTATGACATACAGTTTTCTGGTTCATTTTAGATTTTTTTTTGTGGGGAGTACCAGGGATCGAACTCAGGACCTTGCTGCCAGGCAGGTGGCAGCACCACTGAGCTAAATCCCCGGCCCATTTAGATTTTTATTATATAACCAAAAACGTAGTTCATACAGTTAAAGGTGGCGAATTAAGTTACCAGTTGGTCATTTTCTAGGCTGTTTGATGCTATTGTTATTGCTGACTGTACTACTTTAGCCAAGGTGACATAATTGTTCTAATCAGTTGTTCTTCC